TAGTGGTGTAGTGGTTAAGAGCTCGGTTGCTAACCAAAAGGTTGGCAGTTCAAATCTACCAGCTGCTCCTTGGAAACGCTATGGGCCAGTTCTATTCTGTCCTATAGGGTCACTATGAGTTGGAATCAACTTGACGGCAGCTAACAACAACAGGGTAAAAAAATTAAGGCATAGAGATTAAGAATCTTGCTCAAGGTTACACAGTTAGTGTAACAGGCAGAATCAAGATGCTCAAAGTCAACGTGCACTAAATTAAACTCATCATTTCCCACAACATATTTCTTTTAAACTGTACCTCTTACCCCAAAGAATTTTATCAGCAACTAACTACTGGTTCCCCAAGCCGGTATATGGACGTCTTCTCGACTCCTCACTCTCCCTTATGCTTCTATCAGGAAATTTTTGAATGGAATTCTAGTAGGTTTAGGACAGCATCTGTTATGCCTAACATCCCTGGAATAATATTAATGGATCATGGACCTGAAGTATAAACCACTGCTTACAACTTTTCTTACTTTTTTGGTGAATAGTAGTTAATGGGGTATAACTTGGAGCTAGATCTAGGTTTTGCCACTTACTAAGTGGGTCACTTCACCTCTCTACGCCTGTTTCCTTCTCTGTAAAAGCAAAAAAAAAAAAAAAAAGATGACTTGGTAAAAGAGCTGTAGTAGAATGGCTGATCCTATTCAACTGTTGGCCTTTAATATTTACTATGGATGGTTTATGGGAGCCACGGTGGTGCAGTGGTTAAAGGGCTCAGCTGCTAACGGAAAGGTCAGTGATTCGAACCCACCCAGTGGAGAAAGATATGGCAGTCTAGTTCTGTAAGGATTTACAGCCTTGGAAACCCTATGGGGCAGTTCGACTCTGTCCTATAGGGTCGCTGTGAGGCAGAATTGACTTGACGGCAACGGGTTTGGTTATTTGGTTTTTATGGATGGTTTACACAGCAGAACTGTATTGTGGAGTCTGGACAAATTAAAAAGAAAAAAAACCTTCTTATGCTTCTTTTGTCCTCTGGGCTACTGATTAAACATGGCTTTCTTCCTCAAATACCATTTAATTGAATTTTTTCCATTTAATTTAATTTTAAGAGACCCTCAAAGAAGAGGGTTCCCAACAGCATCAAATAAACAGGACTTTAGGTTACTAATCTTTTTCTTGATATTGGTGAACATTTGTCTGATCTCTTTTTAATTGCAAAGATAGGATTATTGATTGATCTCACATCTGTGTTTCAAATGAAATTACACTTTTCATTTGTTTTAGCTGATGGTCCTATAGCAGACATATTAATTATTAAAATACATATAGCACCACTGATTATAAGTCACTTCATATATATTTTGCTAAGTTCTGTCCTTTGGGCCTAGAAGTTCTGAGAGCATGTTTATTAGAACAACTGTGCAAACTTCTAGACCAGGAGAGACAGAACTAAATTATCCCCACTAAAATGGCTATCATGAAAAAATGGAAAATATGTCGATGAGGATGTGGAGAAACTGGAACCCTTACCCATTGCTGGTGGGAAATGTATAATGGCGCAGCCTCCGTGAAAAACGGTGTGGTGGTTCCTCAAAAAGTTAAAAAGAGAATTACCTTATGACCCAGCAATTCCACTGTTAGGTAATACCCAAAGAAATTGAAAAACAGGGACTCAAACAGATACTTGTATACCAATATTCACAGTAGCATTATTCACAATAGCCAAAAGGTGGAAACAACCCGAGTGCCTATTAACAGATGAATGAACAATGGAATATTGTACAACCACAACAAGAAATGAAGTTCTAATAATGTTACAACATGGATGAACCCTGAAGACATTATGCTAAGTGGAATAGCCAGACACAAAAGGACCATCCTATGATTCTACCTACCTGAGGTACCCAGAAGAGGAAAATTCAGAGACAGTAGAATAGAGGTTACCAGGGTCTATGGGGAGGGGGTAAGGGGAGTTATTGTTTAATGGGTATAATGTTTCTGTTTAAGATGATTAAAAAAAAAAAAAAAACTGGAAATACATAGTATTGACGGTTACGCAACACTGTGAATGTACTTAATGCCACTAAACTGTACACTTGAAAACGGTTAAGTGGTAAATTTTGTTATGTATATTTACCACAATAAAAAAAGAAAAAAGTGATTAGCTTTAAAAAAGGGTAGGGATGACTTTATGAATGTTTTTCTGTCTTACTGAAGAAAAATTTTTAAAGAAATGCTGTGCTGCACATACACACTATCTATGGTAATAACTCAATCGTCAAGTAAAATCTATATGGATGAGGAGCTTGATTCTACTACTGAGAAGAGAACAAACTCCACTAATACTTTCCCATGAACTTAAAAATCCTACACAATTCTTTGGAGGGAGCGCTAAAATAAATGAGTTTTGTTCACGCTGTGCTCCAAATGCGAATATGAAAATTATAATTTTAGCAACAGTTTAAAATCTTTTTCATTAAAATATCTGATTGGCTGTTAAATGAGAAACTATTTTGTTCTGTAAACCTTCATCTAAAGTGCGAACAGCAGAACAATTGGAAGAGCATAGTCGATGTCACTGAACTGTGCATGTAGAAATTTTTGAAATAGTGTATCTTTGGCTATGTATATTTTCACCAAAAAAAAAAAATTCAAGAAGGGAGAGGGTTGACATGTTGTAAGGTTGTTAACCAATGTCATAAAATATGTGTACTACTGTTTCATAAGAAACATTTTGTTCTGTAAGCCTTCACCTGAAGTACAATAAAAAATAATAATAATAAAATAAAATATCTGACTGGCCAATAAGCTTCCTCTACATGTACAAGAAAAACAAAGCTTAGCATTTTCAAAATTTTAATATAACATTGATGACAATAGTCCTTTAAAACTATTTCCACCAAAATGAACATCTAAATAAGATGTCTTAATCCTATAATTCAACACTCTCCACAAATTCCACTTTTAAAATGCATCTATCCCCCATCCTCAGCAAACTGTTAGTAATCTTTTCAGTTGTTAAAATCCCATAGTAAAAAGCACCTTTTTCAGAGCAGAGCACACACTACATTTTGATATGAAAAATGGTTATGTCTATTAGATGTATTCATTCTACAAATCTTTATTGAGAACCTCCTATGTGTCAGGCACTGTTCTAGGCACTGGGGAAGGGGGCATTTTCTGCCCTCCTGATGCTTACATTATATTTGAGGATATATCCAAAAATAAAAATTTTTAAAAATCTCATAACACACAAGCATGAAGAGTTACAAAGAAAGGAAAGCAGAGTGAGGGGGTTGGGAGTAAGTGGGTGCTCTTTAGAGAAGATTCTCTGAGGTGACTTCGGAGCCAAACCCTGAATGAAGCACGAAACATGAAATGATGTGTGAGGAGAGCGGCAGGCAGGGGTAATGCACAGTGTAAAGGACCTGTGGCAGGAGCACACTCAGTAAACAGTAAGGCCCGCTGGACTGTTATTTCCTCTCCTACTGGAGGGCAAAAGGAGCCCTGGTGGGGGTTAAGGGCTCAGTTGCTAAATGAAAGGTTGGTGGCTGGAACAAAAGAAAGACCTGGCAATGTGCTCCCATAAGGATTACAGCCAAGAAAACCCTATGGGGCAGTTCTACTCTGTTATATGGGGTCAACTCCACAGCACCTAACAACTTAAGGGCAAGGACTATGTTTCATTAACACCTGTATATCAAAAGGTATGTTCAATGTGAAGAACGTGGAAGTGGCAAATATTTTGTTATATGTATACTTATCACATGACCCCTGGTGGCGCAGTGGTTAAGCACTCGGCCGCTTACGCGAAGGTTGCTGGTTCCAACCCACCAGCCACTCGGTGGGAGAAAGATGTGGCAGTCGGCTTCCGTAAAGATTGCCGCCTTGGAAACCCTATGGTGCAGTTCTACTGAGTCCTACGGGGTCGCTATGAGTCGGAATCTACTCCACAGCACTGGGTATATTTACCACACACATAAAAAGACATGTTCAAAAGGAATTTTTAAAATGGGATGTTGACTACTTAACACAGTCAGCCTATTCATCTCCTCTTCAATACAGGCGTACAGCCTGATTTTTGAAAGACCCTTCAATAAAGACATCCCCAGGCCAATGGGGCACACCTGTTTTACAGATGATAAGAGACTTGAGACTAGAGTCCTTAACCCAAAACCAACCAAACCGTTGCCTTCGAGTCGATTCCAACTCAAAGCGAGCCTATAAAGCCCTTAGCAGTCCTATACTTTCTAAAGGAAAAACCGAGTCTGATGAGACTAAATGTTTGAAAAATGAAACTTTCCAAATTTTAGTTCCTGGGAGGTGCATTTAAGCCTCTCAGCACAGTGCTGAGGTAAGGACTCTGTGCAGGTGAGTTTCAGCAGGCACAGGGGCACCTCCATCCACTCACAAGACACTCACGGGGCAGAGGGTTGGGGAAAACACTCCTGGTCCCCAACCTCGAGGAGGGTCGCATCTACTCTGGGAAATGTATACAAAATAAGCAGTCAAGCAAGGCCGGCCTAGCATGTACCAGGCTTGCAATAGTGATGAGTGAATACAAGGACTGAAACACGTGGGCTGGACCACGCAGAAGACTGTCCAAGCGATATACGGGATCTGTGAGCGGCTTCGGGATAAAGTCCCGTTTTCTCTTCTACCCAGAGCCCGGAAAAGAGTTTGAGGAGGGTCGAGGTAAATAAAGCGGAAGGGTGAGAAGGGGATCCTCGGGCTGACAGCGCCGAGGGGAGGTGGGAGCCAGCGGCGTCCCCTGAAGCCCCTCACGGGGAGCAGGGTGGGCGGGGCCAAAGCGGAGGGCTCTTCGGGCTCCAGCCGCGCTCCCGCTGGTACGATCCGTAATGGAGGCGCCGTGGATGCGCCGCGGGGTCAGAATCCCGGCCCGGACGCGTACCCAGTCCGCACTGCCTCTCGGGGCGGGGCCCTGGGGCCCGGGTGCCGGGCCGAGACAAGGGCTGGACCGGGAGCCGGCGGCTGCCGGGAGGCCGCGCACTTACCGGGGAGCCTGGGAGCGCGGACGCGACGCGAGCCTAGCAGCGAAGGGGCGGGCGTGCCGTTCCAGGCAGAAGAGGGCGGCGGCGGCGGGGACCACTCGGAAGAGCCAGCTGCGAAAGCGACAGTGCATAACCAACGCTGTCCGCGCCCCCTCCTCGCAACGCCCCAAGCGGATTCACCCGCGGCCGGCCTCGCACATGTGCGGCGCAGCGACGCACAGCGGCCCGGACGGCCCCGCCCCCTGGGCGGAGTCCTCTCCTAGTCGTCGGCCCCGCCCATCAACCCCTCCCCTGAGGCGGAGCCCGCCCTCCACTTCTAGCCCCGCCCATCGGCCTGGTAGGGCGGAATTCTCGAAGGTCAGTCCCTCAGGAGTGGCTTTCCCCGGGGGACTGCTCATGCACACCCAGTGGCGTTGCCAGTTGCGGGATGGAGGGTTCATGGTAGCCCATTCGCTCCTAGTCCTCTCAGGCAGGTCGCCCCTGGACCTTGGCAAGGGCAAAAAGTGGCTTTATCCTGCATCAGAGTTCTTAGTCTTTAGGACTTCTAAAGCAGCAATTGCCTTACAAACGTAGCTGCACTCTCATAAGGTTTTCTTCCATATAGTTGTGGCCTTTTATTTTTTTATCCTAAATTTTATTTATTTTGTTGTTGAGAATATACACGGGGCCCTGGTGGCGCAGTGATTAAGCGTTGCCTGCTAACCAAAAGGTCAGCAGTTCTAATCCACCATTTTCTCCTTGGAAACCCTATGGGGCACTTCTACTCCGTCCTATAGGAATTGGCACCACGGCAATGAGTTTTTCTTGGTTTGGTTTTGAGAATATATACAGTAAAACATATACCAATTCAACAGTTTCTACATGTACCATTTAGTGACATTGAGTACATTCTTCCAGTTGTGCAACCATTCTCATCCTCCTTCTCTGAGTTGTTCCTCCCTCATTAACATAAGCTCACTGCCCCCCAAGGTTTCTATCTAATCTTTCCAGCTGCTGTTGTCAATTTGATCCCATATAGGTAGTTCTTAAAAGCGCATACTACTAAAGGCAAACCTTTTTTTTTGACTAGCTAAGCTAAACTATCGTTAGCTTTTAAGATGACTTTAGGGGATATTTTCAGTTTAAGGTTTAAAGATTATCTCAGGGCAGTAGTTTCATGGACAGTTCTGGCCCTTTCTTGATGGCTTCAACCAGGCAGTTAACTTAATAATGAAAAGAGAATCACTTTAGGCACTGTTTTGTTTTACATATAATTACTTCGCAGTGGATCCAAGAGCACCATTTTCCCTCTTCCTCAATTTACCTCTCCTGCTTGATAGCTCCAGAAAAGGATCTGCTTCTAGAAACCTGATTGCAGCAAGCCATTCTTCTGTGTAAAGAAAAATAAAATTCATTCCTTTTCCCATGCTCTTTAAGAAGCACATGTTTTCCGACCAAATTCCAGCCCCTAATAGTTTTTACACATCTAATATTTTGACAAATTTCAACCCTGAGTAAACAACCAATATGTTATTTTAAGTCCTTATATTTTTTTTAGACTTGATTTTAAAATTTGAGTTTATGTGTAGAGATCTGGTCAGCAGAGTCAGATAATTTGCTCAAGCTGGTACGGTTCTATACTGCTTTCCCCTGAGATTGTTCACCTCAGTTTAACTACCTGTAATGTTTTTCTTTCATTAATCCATGTACAGTCATATGTCCTGGGCTTTGGCTAATTCATAGGTTAATATCTCAATGACAGCAACTGCAGATATTTTTACCACAGTCAGGCAGTAATAATTCAATCCTAATTCTTAATTTTTACGTACTTTAGAAAAGTATCTTCTCTGGGGTTGTAGCCCAATTCCTCATAAATGCGTGTAGAGGAAAGAAAGTTCACGTTTCTTTGGCCACTAGCTGAGTCCATAGTCAAAACTTACTCTTTTGCATTTCAACCTAAACTGCCTTCCACAAAGTCCAAGTTTAGTTTTCTGTTTTCCAAAATGGGCAAATTGGCTTTTATAGTTAAAATAATAAAGAAGTGTTAAAAGCCTCTCCCTCATTCCAATTCTCTCTAGTAAACATTTAACAGTTGAATATTCTCCTCAGCTTTAAGAGTCTATCTTAACACATATAAGTATATACAATATTTGATATTCTCCTTTTAACTCTATACCAACAATACCAAAACAAAAGCAAAAAAAACCAAACCCATTGCCATCAAGTTGATTCCAACTTGTAGTGACCCTATAGGACAGAGTAGAACTGCCCCAAAGGGTTTCCAGGAAGCAGCTGGTAGGATTCAAACTGCCAACCTTTTGGCTAGTAGTCAGGTTCTTAACCACTACACCACCAGGGCTCCTCACCAGCAGTACAGGCTGCTAAATGTCTATCACGTGAAATCTGTCTCTTCTTATCACCTATCATTCTTATTATCACCTGGTATTCTGTCCTTCGAAGATGCTTTTCCCCACTCCCCAGATAGTACGTAATTGTTCTCTGTGCTCTTTCAGTCATTGTAAACACTTCCGTTGTTGAACCTACTACACTAATTTTAAATTATTTATTTCCATGTCTCTTTCCTTTTCCAGAAAGTGAATTCTTCAGAGGTAAAAATTTGGATTTAAGGTAATCTTTTTTCCCTTCATTTTACTTTTTATTTTTATTAGAGTTCTACATGCCTGTGATTTACAGTGAAATGATTCTGTAGAAACCTTGTTAGGTTTGCAGTGAAACAGCAGGGACTGCTTCCTCACCTCCTCCCTCACCTGTTTTCCCCTCCTTAAAGGCCGTCATTTCACTTCTTTTGATATTTACTTTTATTTCTCTATATAACATGCTTGTATTGCTATTTCCTGATTTTTTCCTTTTAGGCATTATCTATTGATATCAGTTAATGGAAAATGAGGATTTAGCTCTCCCTTCATTCACTATCTGCACCACATTTCTCATTCCTCCACCTGCTCAATATATAGTTAGTTATATGGTACTTTTTGTTACATTTGTGTTTGCTTCTTTGTGTCTAGGTAAATATTATTCACATCTTAGGCAAGTAGTAAACTATGATTACTTCTCTTTTTCTGTGCAGTTTTTTTGTTTTTCCTATAGTTGATAAGAATCTTATTTTGGTTTACTTATTTATCCCTAAGCCCAGCCCAAACTCTACAGTTGTTTAAATTTCCCTCTTAGAGGCTCAGCTACATGAGGTATTCTATCAATTTATCCTTCTGAAGGAGTCTTCTGGAGCCTTCTGACCTGCATCAATCTATGCCTAATGCACCGTTACTATCATGGCCTCTCACTTCCTTCTTCTTCTGTGTTGTATCTTCTGTTATATCCTGACTTCTTCTTTCTTGGTCTGTTTTCTCACTTTGTTGTTGTTATTAGGTGTCATTGAGTCGGTTCCGACTCATAGCGATCCTATGTACAACAGAACGAAACACTGCCTGGTCCTGCACCATCCTCACAATTGCTGTTATGCTTGAGCCCATTGTTGCAGCCGCTGTGTCAATCCATCTCATTGAACGTCTTCCTCTTTTTCACTGACTCTCTACTTTACCAAGTATGATGTCTTTCTCCAGGGACTGGTACCTCCTGATAACAGGTTCAAAGTATGTGAGATGAAGTCTCGCCATCCTTGCTTCTGGTGAGCATTCTGGCTGTACTTCTTCCAAGACAGATATGTTCATTCTTCTGGCACTCCATGGTATATTCAATATTTGCCAACACCATAATTCAAAGGCATCAATTTTTCTTTGGTCTTCCTTATTCATCATCCAACTTTCCCATGCACATTAGGCAATTGAAAATACCACGGCTTGGGTCAGGTGCATCTTAGTCCTTAAACTGACATCTTTGCTTTTTAACACTTTAAAGAAGTCTTTTGAAGCAGATTTGCTCAATGCAATATGTCATTTGATTCTTGACAGCTACTTCCATGGGTGTTCATTGTGGATTCAAGTAAAATTAAATTCTTGACAAACTTCAATCTTTTCTCCGTTTATCATGATGTTGCTTATTGGTCTAGTTGTGAGAATTTTTGTTTTCTTTATGTTGAGTTGTAATCCGTACTGAAGATGTAGTCTTTGGTCTTCATCAGTAAGTGCTTCAAGTCCTCTTCACTTTCAGCCAGCATTTCTCATTTTAGAGGAGCACAGCTCCAGAAACTTCCTGAGAAAGGGGAAGTAAATGAAGGTTAAAGTTTTGAGATATTGAATGCCTGAACATATCTTTATTCCAACCCCAAACTTAACCATTTTTTTTTTTACTTTTTTTAAATTACTGTGTTTTAAGTGAAAGTTTACAGTTCAAGTTAGTCTCCCGTACAAGAATTTATACATACATTGCTATGTAACCCTAGTTGCTCTCCCTGTACTGTGACAGCACATTCCTCCCTTCCACCCTGGATTTCCCGTGTCCATTCAACCAGCTCCTGACCCTCTCTGCCTTCTCATCTCGCCTCTGGACAGGAGCTGCCCATTTAGTCTCATGTATCTACTTGAGGTAAGAAGCACACTCTTCACGAGTATCATTTTATGTCCCATAGTCCAGTCGAATCTTTGTCTGAAGAGTTGGCCTTGGGAATGGTTTTAGTTTTGGGCTAACAGAAAGTCCAGGGCCATGTCTTCCAGGGTCCCTCCAGAAACTTGACTGGTATTTTATCAATCAAGTGTAGAATTATAGTTTGGAATACATTTCCATTTGATATTTGAAGGGATTTCTTCCCTATCTTCTAGCTTCCTTTGTTACTGCTGAAAAAATCCAAATATGTTCTGATTCTTGATCCTTTGTAAGAGAACAATTTTTCTCTCTGGAAGCTTAGGATTGACTTTTTCCCTCCAGTGTTCTGCAGTTTCACAGTGGTGAGCCTTGGAGTGGGACAATTTTTAATCTCTTGTGTGGGGCACTCAGTGGGCCCTTTCAGTGTGAAAACTCATGACGTTCAATCTGAGGAAATTTTCGTGAATTATTTTGTTGATGACTTCCTCCTTCCCTGATCATTTTCTCTTTTGAAACTCTTGTTGTTAGGATTTTGGAACTCCTGGACTGGTTCTTAAGTTTATTGTCTTTTTTCCCGTTTTTTATTTCTTTGTTCTTTTGCTTCCCCCTTCTTATATCCCCCCTCCCTGTATTTCCCAACATTTATCTTCCAACTCTTTTATTGAATTTTTTATTGTTGCTATGTGTATATATATATATTTGGAGTGGGAGTCTCTAAATGATCCTTTTTAAATAGTATCCTGTTCTTGTTTTAGGTTACAATGGTATCTCATATCTCTCTCAGAGTATTGATAATTTTTTTTTTATTTTAAGTTTTCTGCTCACACTGGCCTCCACTCACACTCTCAGAATGGTTTCTATTTCCTCTAAGGGTTGCTCCCCCTCCCTCTCCCCTCTTTATTTTGGTCTCTAGATTACTGTTACTGTCCTTGTTGTTAGATGCCATTGAGTAGATCCCTCGGACTCAAAGTGATGCCATGTGACAGAGTAGAACTGCCCCACAGGGTTTTCTAGAACTGCCTCATAGGGTTTTCTAGGCTGTAATCTTTAAGGGAGCAGATCGCCAGGTCTTTTCTCCCGCTAAGCGGCTGGGTGTGTTCAAACTACCAACCTTTCAGTTAGAAGCGAGTGCTTAACTGTTGCGCCACCAGGGCTCCTTACTACTTTCCCTGTTAGTTTGTTTATGAAGTAGTCAAATCCCTGGGTCCTCTCCCTACTCCTCACTGCTAGGTAACTCCCCTTTCTCCTCCCTGGCAAAGGACAGGTATTTCTTGGGTCTCTGCACTGGGCGAAGTGCATATTTAGATGCTGAGTCCTCTTGCTCCGTTCAGCTGCCAGGACGCTTACAACCAGATCTGCACCCTCTAGGCAGGAAATTGGAGGGTCATCTCTAGAGAGTCTGACCAGCCTTAAAAGAAAGAGCCAAAGATACTGACATTGGAAATTCTCCGACTAAAAAGCCCAACTAAATAACCGTGCTTTGAAGCTCATCGTCAACAAGCCCACTCACACTCTCAGAACATCTGATTAGCCTTTATGCCTCTCTTCTTTTAATGTAAGCAGAAAATCAAGGATACTATTTTAAATATAAATTTAAATAATTCTTGTTGAATTTATGGTGGGGAGGGAGGGAGGGATATCCTCAAGTATACACGTAATTAAGGGTCCCAATAAAGTGGAGGGGTCTCTACCGTGATTTCCCGCTTCTCTTGAGAGCCTCGTGGGGCGGGGGCCTGCTCCCTGAGCTGCAGCTTTGACCTCCGGCAGGCAGCGGGAGCCCTAGCGCATGGTTGGCGGCTGCGCAGGCAGGGCCTCTCTAGGCCGAGAGGAAGAAAGCAGCGAGACGAGAGGAAGGCGCGGTGGCGTCCAGCCCAGCAGCTTCTGAGGGGTTTGCTGGTGTGCGTGTCTTCGCTGGCCGGAGCAGGACTGCACAGGCCACGCTGGCTGCGCGTGGAGCTGAGGACGCGCACACGGGCGAGATGCTCCTGGCAAGCGAGATCGGCGAGCCGCCGGCGGCCCCGGTGAGGCGACCTTGCTGTTCCAGGGAGGGGACATAGCCCTCCTGAGGGAGGTGTCCCCGATGTCCCCGGGGAGTTGGCACTGGTGGCCTGGTGAGGTGGCACAGATATCCTGGGGGACATAGTCCCAGTGAGGTGGCTTCGGCGGTCCTGGGTAGATGGGCCTTGTGATCTTGGTGCAGTGGCCGTTGTAACTCCGGTGAGGCGGCCCCAGAGTCCCCGGGGAGGTGGTCCTAGCCGTCCCGTGAGGTAGCACGGACCTTCCAGGGAGATGGCCCTTTTTGAAGCTGCATCGGACGACCTAAACCCCGCGGGAAGGCTCCTGAGAAAGGGATCTGGAACCGCTCTCCCCTCCAGTGGATGCGCTCTGGGAACCCTGTATGAGTTCCATCCAGTGATTCAGTCTTAATGTGTTTGTCACACTTGCTCTCCTTCTAGTGCTGCACTGAAAGTGGTGATGAGAGGAAGAATATCGAGGAGAAAGGTAAGCCGGCTTCATACACCTTAGTTCTTTCTATCCAGCCCTCCCTCCAAAACTCAAGCTTGCAGGGTCTGCATCAGAGAAGGGGTCTTAGCCTGTTATCTTTTAGATGAGGTATCTTTTCTCTGCACAGTATGCTTGCATAATATTAAATTCTGATTGTCGTTATACATGTGTTTTTGTCTCAGTTGTCTGAAATTGTAAAACATGGGATGCTTTGGAGAAGAGCACTTCCTGACTCCTGCTTAGTGCAGGGACTGGTGTGGTTTCACTGGAGAGTTCTGCTCATCATACAGAATTGACCATACTCCGGAGTCTGCTGTCATTATAATGAAGTATCAACTCGTTGTTGTTGTTAGGTGCCATCCTAGTCGATTTTGACTAATAGTGACCCCATATGACAGAGTAGAACTGCACCATAGGATTTTCTAGCCATAATCTTTATAGGAGCAAATCACCAAGTCTTTCTCCTGCAGAGCCCTGCTGGGTGAGTTCAAACAGCCAACCTTTGGATTAGCAGCCTCATGCTTAACTTTTGTGCCACCAGGGCTCCTTATCAACTCCTTAAGCATCAGGAATTGTGAGGAGCTAATGATCTAGAACAAAGAGCCCTGTGGTGCAGTGATTAAGCACTTGGCTGCTAACAGAAAGTTTGTCGGTTGGAACCCACCAGCCACTCTGCGTGAGAAGGATGCGATGTGTCAGTCTTCTGTAAAAATTACCACCTCGGAAACCCTATGGGGCAGTTTTACTCTGTATTATAGGGTCTCTATGAGCTGGAATCCACACCAGGGTAACAGGTTTTGGTTTGGAATGATCTAGGAAGATGCTCTGGTGGTACAGTGGTTAAGAGCTTGGCTGTTAACTGAAAGATCTATGGTTCAAACCCACCAGCAGCTTCCTGAGAGAAAAGACCTCTGGTGATCTGCTCCTGTAGAGATTACAGCCTGGGAAACCCTATGGGGCAATTCTACTCTGTCCTATAGGGTCGCTATGAGTCACAATCAACTCCAGGCATACAACAACAACGGTCTAGGAGAGATGACCACTGCCTTAATTGGGTTCAGAATAGTCAAAAGATAATTGTTTAGTTGTACTTTTACCTTCAGTGGATTTGCAACTAAAAATTGCTCAGGGAAGAACACAATGGATAACTTGGTTTCCGGACAGGTAAGGGGGAAAATGTTAATACTTCCATTTCCTTTACAGGGCAGGAGAGTATGTCAGGGATGTAGATGCTTGTCATTTTACTGTCATGAGCTAAGCACAGGAAGAAGGACCTGGCAGTCTCCTGAAAAAATTGGCCAGTGAAAACCTTATGAATAGCACAGCAGGCTATTGGAAATCAAGGAATCCTCAGGGGCTTTTGAAGTCAAATTTTTTGGGAAATGAAGTGGAAAAGCATGTAATAGCTATTCTTTCAGGAGAGTCTGGGTTTTTCTGACTACAGCAAACAGTCTTTGAGAATAAGTAGTGGTAAGAGAAAGGGTGCCTATGTTACCACGTGGCCTTATATAAGGAATGATCCTTAAGATTCCTCACTGATATAGTCAGCCTGAGAAGGAAAATTATAAGTAGTCTATAGCACTTCACAATCAATAGCTGTCCCAACTCAAAATCTTTTTCCTTGAAGGATTTGAGAGTGCCCCATACCTTTTAGACAAACCCTTTGCTTTTCTACCTTTGGCCTATTTGGATGCCTAAGAAGTGAGCTGTCATTTTAGATTCTGACTATAGACTGTCCTTGTCCCTGCCTTGGTGGCTCTGCCAACTGGTATCCAGTTTGGAGTGCTCTTTACAAAAAGCAAAGAGAGTGAGAGAGAGATAAAAAGCTCACAAATCATCAGTGTGCCATTTTGAAAAATGTCATTTGACTAAAAATATACTATGTTGCATTTAAATGGTTACACCAAGAGGATATAATTATTAAAAAAAAGTGAATACAATACAGAATTTATTCCCTAAAGTATAGCAGCCTTTGCATTCACAACATTCCCTTTGCATGTAGACCTGCCTCCATTTTTCTGCAGATACACCACACAACTGATTTTTGTTTTATGTAAGGTAAATTTAAGAAGAAGGTGTTGTGATTTCTCTGTATAATAGTGATAGATTTCTACAATAAAGTTTGGGTGCATACCAGCCAATTCTGCTCATACTTGAAGGAGAAGAAAATAAGAGTATTGGATAGAGTTGGGTAAGATAGATTTTAGTTCCATTTCCAACATTTAAGTGTAGGCTGGAACAAATGTTATAATTTATTTTACAGTTGGGAAGTTGAGGCATAGACTTATGTTTTGTTTCTCCTTCTTATAAGTGGGCCACTGGTTCTCACAACATGTGAACAAGCTTTTAATTCTTAAAAGTTAAAGAAAATTTGTCTTTTTCAGAGGGGAGGATACCTAGTTCAGTAAACACACTGGTATATATTCTGTTAATATAAATAGTTGAGCAATATCTGATATTTACATTATTCATTTAGGCAAAGTTTTATTCAGATACTAGTATTTTTATTTTACTAGTATTTTTATTTTATCAGAAGCAATAGTTGTTCAGCAGTGAAGCTGATTATACCTACTTGCCTTTCATTGCTATTTTCCAAGAACTTTGCATTTTTGGTAAAGGGCCAGCCTCTATAAGGGATAGCTCAAAAATATTTGTTACTTAATTATATCTTAATAAGCATCCTGGATAGTGGGAGAACTTATAGAAACTTTCAGGGTGAAAAACTGATAGGTGAAATACAGGAAATGATCAAATTTCAAGCATAGAGTATGAAGTGGACTATTTGGGAAACTTTACATACTAAATGAGATGAGAGCAGAACTACACAGTATCCTGCTTTCACTGGGCATTGTTTGTTCTGTTTTAGTAAATGTTGCCTCTGCTACCACTGTTCTCAAGAAATGGCTTTACGCCAAGAGACAGAAAGGGCCGCGTAAACCAGAGACTTCAGCAGCCTGAGACCAGAAGAACTAGACGGTGCCCGGCTACCACCAAAGACTGTCCTGACAGGGAACACAACAGAGAGTCCCTGATGAAACAGGAGAAAAGTGGAGTGCAGAACCCATTCTAGTAAAAGACCAGACTTAATGGTTTGGTTGAGACTGGAGGGACCCTGAAAGAAGTGGCCCCCAGACTCTCTGTTACCCCAAAACTAAAACCATTCCTGAGGCCAATTCTTCAGACAAAGATTAGACTGGACTGTGGGACATAAAATGATACTCGTGAAGAGTGTGCTTCTTGGCTCAAGTAGACACATGAGACTAAATGAGTGGCTCCTGTCCAGAGGCAAGATGAGAAGGCAGAGAGGGTCAGGAGCTGGTTGAATGGACACAGGAAATTTGCGGTGGAAGGGAGGAGTGTGCTGTCACAGTATAGGGAGAGCAACAAGGGTCACATAATAATGTATGTATAAATTTTTATATGAGAGACTAACTTGAATTGTGAACTTTCACTTAAAGCACAGCAATTAAAAAGAAAAAGAAATGGCTTCATGACTCAGTCACGTGTTTGTCACATGTAATAAATCCAATGTGAATATTCCTCTTTTATTTGCCATGGAAACATTCTCATTTTAGACTGTACAGTTTAGTGTTTGCATCAGCTATTTTTATTATTTCACAGTAATTTGTGCTTTTTTTTTTTTTTTTTTTGTCTCTGTTTCTGGCATGGATGACTTTGAACAATGGCATTTGAAACTTCAAAAAAAATTTACTCAAATAAGGAGTTTTTACTCATTGGTCACCCTTTCAGTATTTTTCATATACTTGAAAGAAATATTTCAATGCATTTTTTTTTTTAACATTTTAAAACCAGAGTCCTCCTTTGGTGTTATTCTAGACTGATTCTAGAATCTATTAGAGTTTATTCCTACTCATGGCAACCCCATGGGTGTCAGAGTAGAACTGTGCTCCATAGGGTTTTCAGTGATTGATTTTTCAGAAGTAGATAGGCGATTCTTCCGAGGCATCTCTGGGTGGACCCTTTTGGTTATCAGGCAAGTATGTTAATTATTTGCATCACTCGGGAACTCCACTTTTTTTTTTTTTTTAAATTCTAGACCATGTCATCTAGTAATAAGTTGCTTTCAAATTATGAAAAGGTATTACTAATGTAATAAAAACTGCATCAATAAAATCAGATTTGACCCTTTTGCTGATAATAAAATAGATCCTTAAGCTATAAGCCCTTCTGGAAAGTTGTAATGATCTGTTTGTGACTGTATTGCCATGTCAACATCTATTGAAATTTGTGGTTACTAAGTCTGGCTTTAGGAATTTTTCTGAACAGATTCCTTGGACTCGAAATTCATTTAGTCTGTGTTTCCTCAGCTCTTAAGCAAAGCATTTTGTGGTATTTGATAGATTGCTTTGTAAGTGTTCATTTGGGTATTTTATATGTTATTTATTGAGTTTGAATGATCAACTCTACTGCCTTATATACCTTTTGTACTTAATTGCATAGTACTTAGTAGTGTTGAGTTATTTTTGTTATTTTATTTTAGGTAACATAAATACGGCAGCTCTTTTTGGAAGTGAACAAGTCATCGAAAGCACAGATAATGGTGATCTCTCTTCCTATGTGTCTGCATTCATAGAAAAGGAAGTTGGAAATGACCTTAAATCTTTAAAAAAACTTGACAAACTCATAGAACAGATGACAGAAAGTAAAATGCAGTTAGAAGAACAGGCAAGTATTAAAACTTATGGAAATAATATTGATAGCATATTCATTATAACTTAATATAATGTAAACATAACCATAGACAAATATAGAAACTTACTGTATATAGAATTTTCAAGATACAGTGTGGCAAATAATCTAATCATTCAAAATTGTTTAAGAGGCTTTAAGGACCTAGCATATGCTAGGTATTTTACGAATTATGTAAAAGACAGAATTCCTACTGACATGATTTATGTCTTGGAAACAATGCTATATGACATTTTAAGTAGCTTTTCATACGGCGGTTTTTTTTTTTTAATTTCATTGTGGTAAAATATATATAGCAAAAAAATTTACCATTTTAATTTTTATTAAGTACAGTTCAGTGACATAAATTATATTTACCATGTTGTACAACCATCGCCACTATCTATTTCCAAAAGTTTGTCATCACCCCAAAGAGAAAACAATAACTCTTCATCCCCCTCCCCCTCCCCTGGCAACCACTTATACAGTAATATTTAAAGTGCTTTTATAAATAAATAGTTTCACGGTATAGGAAAATGTTTAAACACTTTTTTTATTTTTTTATTTTATTGTACTTCAGGTAAAGGCTTACAGAACAAATAGTTTCTCATGAAACAGTAGTACACATGTTGTTTTATGACATTGGTTAACAACCCCACAACATATTAACCCTCTAAATTCTCAACCTTTTTTTTTTTTTTTCTTTTGGTGAAAATACACATAGCCAAAGATACACCGTCTCAAAAATTTCTACATACACAGTTCAGTGACGTTGACTACGCTCTTCCAATTGTGCTGTTATTCTCACTTAAGATGAAGGCTTATAGAACAAAATAGTTTCTCATTTAACAGTTACTACAAATGTTGCCCTATGACAATCGTTAACAATCTCACAACACATCAACAATATCCTTACTCAACCTTGTGTTCCCTATCACCAGCTTCCTTGTTCCATTCTGCCTTCTGGCCCTTGTCACTGGACTCCTGTACCTCGTTAGTCTCATTTGGTTTTATGGGGCTGTCCACTCCCAGGCTGAACAGGGAACCTCGGAGGTAACTTCACCACTGAGCTAAAAGGGTGTCTGGGGGCCATACTCTCGGGTTTCTCCAGTCTCCTTTAGGCCAGTAAATCTGGTCTTTTTTTTGTGAATTAGAATTATGTTCTACATCCTTTTCCAGCTCTGTCCAGAACCCTCTGTTGTGATCCTGGTCAGAGCAGTCAGTGGTGGTAGCTGGGCACCATCTAGCTGTACTGGCCTCAGTCCGGTGGAGGCCTTGGTAGCTGTGGACAATTAGTCCTTTGGACTAATCTTTTGCTTGTATCCTCTTCTCTTCATTCTCCCTTGCTCCCGAAGGGATGAGACCAGTGGAGTATCTTAGATGGCCGCTCACAGGCTTTTAAGACCCCAGACACTACTCACCAAGGTAGAATGTAGAGCATTGTCTTTATAAGCTGTGTCATGCCAGTTGAGCTAGATGTTCCCCGAGACCATGGTCCCCAGAGCCCTCCGCCCAGCAATTCAGTCCCTCAGGGAGTTTGGATGTGTCTATGGGGCTTCCATGACCTTTGCTTGTGCAGGTTGTGCTAGTTTCCCCTGTGTTGTAAACACTATTTTTTATATACGTATGCATAGGGAAAAAAACATGAAAAGAAATATAAATTTTTAATAATGATTATTTCTGGATGGTTGGTTGACAGTTGATTTGTTTTCTTAATATTTTTCTGTATTTTCTAGTTTTTTTCTTTTTACAATGAACATGTATTACTTAAAATATTTTTAAAAAACCCAATGAAAGTAACCTTAAAAAAAAATAGTAAATGAGTCTCTATACAGGAGACCTGGTGACACAGTGGTTAAGTGCCATGGCTACTAACCAAAAGATCGGCAGTTCGAATCTACCAGCCGCTCCTTGGAAACCCTATGGGGCAGTTCGACTCTGTCCTGCAGGGTCGCTGTAAGTCGGAATTGACTCAACAGCAACAGGTTTGGTTTTGGTTATAATTGCAACAGGAGCCCTGGTAACAATGGTTAAGCATTCAGCTTCTGACTGAAAGGTGGTAGTTTGAACCCACTAGCGGCTCCATGGGAAAAAAGACCTGGTGATGTGCTCCCGTAAAGATTACAGCCTAGGAAACCCTATGGGGCATTTCCATCCTGTCCTAAAAGACTGATATAAGTCCAGATTGACTTGACAGCACACAACAACAACATCCTTGCAATAGTTTGTCAAAAATAAAAAGCTTTTTATCATACAGCTACTATATTAGGTGTGAGTATGTTGGTGTGTAAGTCCCTGGGTGGCACAAGCAGTTTGAGATTGGCTGCTAACCTAAATGTTGGTGTTTGGAACCCACCCAACAGCATGGAGGAAGAAAGGCCTGGCAATCTGCTTCTGTAAAGATTACAGCCAAGAAAATCTTATGGAGCAGTCCTACTCTGTAACACATGGGTCACCTTGAGTTGGAATCAACTCAGCGGCAGTGGGTTTGGTTTTAGTTCTTATATTGGTGTGTTATCCCCAGGTTATCAGTCATCTTATGTTCTCCCATCCCCAGCACCTTAAGCCTCCACACCCTCCTATCTTTCCACCATACCTACTGCTGGTCTCTAAGTTTACCCCTGCCCTGTCCACCTCTTCTTCCGTAGGCAGGTGTTGTAGGTCCTGTTGGAGCAAAGTGCACACCTGAGTGGGTTGATGCCAGACCAAATATGTGGTCTGCCATCATGGCTGATTCTTCAGCCGCACCTGGCAGTCCTTCCGTGGTACCTTTTTAGCACCTCTGCTACTCACCTCAGCTGCTCTTCCAAATTCTCCCCAAGGCACCTACCCTACTCCTGGTCATCCCACCCTTCCCTTTTCCCAAACAGAAAAAATTGAGACCATCTAGCAGAATCTACTGAACAGTCTACCCCTAAACTCAACAAACTTATTTGCAACCATTTTTACATCTTAAATCAGCAGAGGATCAATCTAAGGTAGTTTTTATGCTCTAGATCCTACCTGCCACCTCACTGAATGTGCTTTAGCACATAATTCCCTTCTCTCTTTTATAATTTCATCCTCTGCTCCTTATCCAGTTCTGTCCCCTCAGCATGTGGATATGCACACATCTTTCCCTTCAAACCTAAGCAAGGAAACAAAAACCCTCTCCTTGTGTTTTAGTAGGTGTCAGTTCCTTCCTTTGGCTGCTGAGCTTCTTCAAAAAGCCGTCTTACTTTATCTCCATTTCCTAATTTTCCTTTGTCCCACTGTCATTAGGCTTGTTTCCCTGATGACCACTGAAACTTTTGCTGAAGTCCCTAATTGAACCTTAAATTCAGCATGTCCAAAACTGTACTGATCCATTTCTTAAAATGCTTGTCCTATGTTGGTTAGCTCTGTTCTTAAGTGATACTGCTGCTAACCAAAAGGTTGGCAGTTCGAATCCACCAGCCGCTCCTTGGAAACCCTATAGGGCAGTTCAGCTCTGTCCTGTAGGGTCGCTATGGGTCAGAATCAACTCAACAGCAGTGGATTTTTTTTGGATTTGATCTTGGTTGATAGCACCACCATCTGCTTATCACTGAAGCCTAAAACCTGGGAGTTGTCCTATGTTCCTCCTCATCCTCACTCCACCTCTGATCTAATTAGTCACTAAGTCATCTGAGTTCTGCCTCCTTTCCGCCACCTTAGTTTAAGTCCTCAAATGCATGTCTTGCATTTTATGGTGGTTTGTTGATCATCAGTTTTCTTCATATCACTACAATAACTTTCTTTTTATCTCTTATAGAAATTTTATGACATGTAAATAGGTGTATATATATATATAATAAATACAGTTTTAAAATTAAACTTTTTTCTATCCTTATACAAGCACTTATATATTTAAAATACAGAGCTTTTTGCAATTAATGTAATATAGTACCTTCTTTATCAATACATATAGATCTCTGTTTTTTAATGGTTTATATGGTATTCAAATATGACTACCGTAATTTATTTAACTAGACCTTTATTGATGGACATTTTTGAGTTCCATTTTTTTATTATTACAAATAATACAAGAATAAACATCATTGTTTATCACATGACCTTTCAAAATTATAAATCTAACTGAGTTGTTCCCTTTTAAAAAACTCAGTGGCTTCCTATTGCCCGTTGGATAAAGCTGGTATTCTTAAAAGGCACAAGATGCCTCCTGTCATTTGTTCTCTCTCTATTTGTCCAGCTTTATCTCTTTTCTCTGCATTTCTTTGAACTTCATCCTTTGGCCAACTGAGCTTCTTGCAGTTATCTGATCATGACTGAGCTGTTCCTTCTACCTGGAATGCCCTCTCCTTCCATAGTTCCCTGGAAAATTCCCACCCACCCTACAAATGTCCCTGCCTGAGCCATGCAAGCAGAATTGCCTGGTACCTCAACACCTTGCTACTTAAAAGAGCTTATCAGAAATGCAGGATCTGAGGCCCTACTCCAGACATACTGATTCCAAATTAGCATTTTAACAACATTCCTGGTGATATGTGTGTACGTTCAAGTTTGGGAAGTACTGCCTTAGCATACACTACACCTAGCATATTCTTTTTATTGAATTAATCACAAGGTTGAAATTATTTGCTTATATCTCCCATATCAGACCAAGCTTAAGGGCAGATGCTGTGTCTTATTTATCTATATATCTCTAGCACAGGGCCTGGTACAGAGTACATATCTAATGAAATTAGTGTTGAATGGATTAAAATTCTTCTATAATATTCATTGTACTGTACTGATACCTAATATTTATATATTTATGTCCGTATCTCATAAGAAAAAGTCATTTAATAAATACCATACCTGAGGACATTATCTGGATATCATCCTACCAAGTCAGTGGTTCTCAACCTGGGCTTAAATACTAATTGCCTAGGGTAACGTTGCCAAAATACAAATATACGTAGTCCCTGACTTGTGATGGATTTGAGTTACGATGAACTTTTTCGTACATCTTATCGTTAGTAGTGTGCACTACATACAGTATTGCAGGGCATATAATATGCTGATGTTATCATTTTCAGATGTTCACTCACAGATGTTCAGTGTTATGATTTATAAAGATACTGATAATAAAAGGCAATGATGAAAATGGTAAGTTAGAACCGACTTACGACGGAGTCGTCAGAACGGAACGCTGACATAAGTCGGGGACTACCTGTACTCAGTTTCTCCCCAGACTTTCTGAATCAGAGCTTCATTTGTTTTTGAAGGAAAATAATTAGTAGATAACAGCATGTCAGAGAACTCCGGCTGAAGCCTCTGAAAGTACTGAGGCTCAGGAGGAGTGTACGGCAGATGCCACGATGGTTACTAGGGCCATTGTAATAGGCCTCTCCCCAGGCACCTTCACATACAGCATGTTATGTTTGGGTTTGGTTAACACCAAGCTTGTTAAAACCCATTGCCGTCAAGTTGATCCTGACTCACAGCGACCCTGTAGACAACAGAGTAGAACTGCCCCATAGGGTTTCCTATGAGAGCAGATTGCCACATCTTTCTCACATGGAGCACAGCTGGTGGGTTCGAACTGCCAACCTTTGGTTGGCAGCCAAGCACTTAACCACTGTACTGCCAGGACTCCTATGGTTATCATAGGACGAAGAAATCAGTCCTTTCTTTTGAAGTTTTTAATTGACAATTTTCAATTCTGTTAGAACAAACATGTATTTTGAAGGCAAGGTAATGAATTAAAGATCATGAAAATTTTATCTGCTGCTTTTTTTTTTTTTTGGTATGGTCAGGTACTTACAATTTCATCAGAAATCCCTAAAAGAATTCAAAGTGCCTTAAAAAATGCAGAGGAATCAAAGCAATCCCTTAATCGCCTTCTGGAGCAAGAAACTCATCTCTTCACCTCCATTAACAGCCACTTACTGACTGCACAGCCCTGGATGGATGATCTTGGGACCATGATTAATCAAATTGAAGAGATTGAACGGCATCTCGCTTACCTGAAATGGATTTCACAAATTGAGGAACTAAGGTAAAATGCACCTCCTTGTTCTCATAATTATTATTTTCCTTTGAAGCTTCTGTTTCAAAGAGGGTATGCATGCCATTAAATAATTGAGTTAATTAAAGATTATAATAATAGTTTTACCAGTTATGAAAATAGCATTATGATAATGATTCATTTTCTTTATTGTGAATGAACATAAACTTTTCCGGGAGCTTAATTTGCATTTGAAGGAAAGTAAGATCTAAGCAAGTTAAGATTTTAAGTCCTATAGTTATATTGTGGACACACGATAAAAACTATTATTTATAATGCCAAGTTAGTAAATAATCCCTCAGTGTGATTATATTCCTATTTACTTTTATTTTTTACATGTGCTCTCTTAATGAAATGCTTTCTATGTAATTTAAATGAATTTTTTCAGTGGGAAGCATCTAATAAGAGCTACACAGTTTTCTTTGATGAATAACACTGAGTTCTACTACCTCTGGGTAGAAAAAAAATAAAGAATACTTGACCTTGGTTCTTTCGGAATTATATACATATCACTGGTGGTTGATTGTGAATGTCTGGTATTGGTCTTTCAAATAAGCCAAAGTAACTTTTCCCACCTACATTGCTAGATTGTTTGGTTTCATGATATGGTCCCCCACCCTCCTCTGAATTGTACTGTTCCATCCCTGATCTGTTTTAAATGTAGCTACTCTTGCTTCAAAGCTGTCAGCAACCATTAATGTCTGGAATACTTGAGGGAGAAAAATCATTGGAGAGAATCCTCATATCTTGCTTCAAATGTATCATAGTTAATATATTTTATGTTATTTCTTCAAAAGGGTAATGTTGTATCCCTTTGTTCTACATGTTTCCCAAGGTTTTTAAGAATGTTACATATTAGGACAGTATAAAAATCTTTCTTTTACATATAGGAGTTTTGTATTTAGAGAAAAGATGATATGCCTAAGATTGTAGTGTTACTAGTGATTCTGGAAATTGACTTAAGCATTTTAGAGTATCTCATTTTTATTTTTTTATCATTTTTATCAGAAGAAGTATTTTACTTTTAAATAAAATGTATGATTGTATAGGGCCAGATATGTAAAATGGTGGCTTGTGGGCTGAATTTGTCCTAAAGACATATTCTCTTTGGCTTGTGTTTTAAAGAATTTCATTAATTGGTTTGATTTTACACAAAAATCTTGATTTCTGGGTTCTCTTGAAAAAGTTTAAGATTTGTCCACATTGGACCCATACTCCAGGGTGGCAACAATTGGCCGGACCCTTAGGTTGGGGGATGTACTGTTTAGTTTGCCCTGGCCCCCACCCACTTAGCTTTTCTCATTTACTTTACCTGTCAGCCTGTGTAGGCATTTTGAGTTTTCCATCCTTGCTTTAGAGCTTACCTTGAATTTTACTTGGAACTTCACCAGTAGTAACTTCGCAGAGCAGGACAGTCTTCTATAGACAAGATCAGCCATGCAAAGTATGTAGGAATTGGAGACTATCAAAGTTTTTTCTTTAGAATCCTGATCGAAAGGGGGAAAATGGGGACAGAACTTCAAATTTTCACGAAATCCAGACTTTCTGGAGCCACTGAGGCTGGAAGACCCCCTAAAACTATTACCCTGAGGAAATCTTTAAACCTTAAACTGAAACTATCCACTGAAGTCATCTTTAAATCAAATAATAGTTTAGCTTCATTTTAAGAATTTATCTGTATTTGATCAAATTGACAACAGATGAGAAGCTTAGGGGGCAGTGAGTTTGTATTGAGGATGGTGAAACAGTTTGGAAAAGGGTATCGGGAAGGGTGGCGCAACTTGAAGAATGTAACCAATGTCATTGAATTGTACATGTAGAAATTGTTGAAATGATGTATGTTTTGTTGTGTATATCTTTAGAAAAAAAAATCCTCTAAATGTCAAGGAGTGGTGTATGAACCCATTTGTGCTCAAAATAAAGGATACTCAAAAATGGATAAAATATAAAATATCTCTGGGAGGATATACAAGAACAGAGATTGCATTTGGGGAATGGAAATAGAGGGGAGTCAGGGGACTTTTATTTGGACTTAAGCAATTAATACTTTTATAAATTAAAAAGCTGTTTTTTTTTTTAATATTCCAAAAAATTTCTTCTCTGCTCCTTTCCTCTCCCAAATTTGACCTTACTAGATGCTCCCCACATTATTTCCCTGGATTAAGATACTAAATACTTCTGTAAAATAAAGGTGTCACCAGAAATGAGTGGTGTCTGAGGGACTGCAACACAGGACAAGTCAGTTCTTTTGGGCGGAGCAGGAAGGGAAAAGTGGAGGGAGGTGTCCTGAGCCTTAGAAAGATGCTGAACTTGAGCACTCGTGGTTCCCAGACAGACTTGGGTATCAGGTAAAAAATCACCTCAGGGTGGTGCTTCCTTCTTCCTTGGATGTAACTTTATTTAAAACAGGTGGGAGAAGCAGTTTTTCTGAATTTGAGATTATTTTGAACAAACCATCTTTAAAGTTTGCTTTCCCTTGTTTTGCAGTGATAACATCCAACAATATCTGATGACCAATAATGTACCTGAGGCAGCCTCTACTCTGGTGTCTATGGCAGAACTTGACATCAAGCTTCAGGAATCATCTTGTACTCATCTTCTTGGTTTCATGAGAGCCACTGTTCAATTCTGGCATAAAATTCTCAAGGACAAGCTTACAAGGTAGGGAATTTACCCATATTTCATGGTAATTGCTTTTAGATGGGTATTTGCTGATCAGTGTACTTTATTGAAATATGTGTGTTACTTTTCTGTTACAGTGATTTTGAGGAAATATTAGCACAGCTTCACTGGCCATTCATTGGACCTCCTCAGTCTCAAACTGTTGGCTTAAGTCGACCAGCCAGTGCCCCTGAGATATACACTAACCTGGAGACATTGTTTTGTCAACTTCTCAAACTGCAAACCTCGTATCTTTGTTGGAGTTGAAAACTTAACTAGTATATCTTTTTTCAGGAGTGGATTTGTGGCTAGAGAGTAAAACTTTTTGAAAGTGACCAGGAAGCCTAATGGGAGTCCTGGGTTTGGACTTGACCTGGATATGCCCATCAAGTAGTGTATCGTTTTCTTTCAAAGTGAATGCCACGTGGTTGGGAGAGCTGTGAGGAAGAGTTCTGAAATACATGGCTGGCCGAAGTTTGCATCACACATAGATCTCATGGGATAATAGGAAAAAAATAGGCAATTGGGAGGAAAGCTTAGTAATTTAGTGTTAATTTAATAAAACAGTTACTTGAATTTATTTCCTTATTACTGTTCTTTATCTTATGAAGGACAGATTATTCTAATAACATTTCTTATACATTTTGTGCTGAGTTCATAATAAGTTAAATTACATATTTTATTATAATTAAATTTACTTGACATCTGATAAATTTGTTGGAAAACTTGCGTACACACACACACACATATATACATATGTATATATATTTCTGATTTTTTTCCTTGACTTCACTCTGTCAGAGATGAATTACTTACTGAGCCAAAACAACTCCCAGGAAAGTACTCTCTGCCTGCATCCTCTTCTGTCATCCTGCCCATCCAGATTATGCTGACTCCCCTTCAGAAGAGGTTCCAGTATCACTTCAGAGGGAACCGGCAGACCAATGTTATCAGCAAGGTGTGCTTCACCACCTCTTGTCCTCGTTTTTAAGGTTTCTGAACTTTTGCTGGTTTAAGCTAAAATCCTATTCTATTCATATTTCTATTTTTTCTCTAAAAAGCTTAAGTCCTGTTTTGTCACTGCCCCTGGGAGATGTATTTTGGGACTTGTGTTGATATATTGTAGGAATCAGTGTATTCATTGTCACATCATCTGACCAATTTCTCAAGTTTCGCCATGGGTGTACTGTAGCATTTGCTGTGGCAGTTTTTACAAATGGATCCATATTATGTTTTATGTGCAGATTGCTCCTTCAGGTTTATAAATGTATCAGAAAGAAAAGTAAAAGTCGAAAGATAGTAAAGCATTAGAATTTTGAACACAGGTGCTGATGCTAAAAAGATGTGTAGCCATGCAAGGGAGAGGATGGGAGTAAAGTATGGGAATGGCTTTGAGGGAATGATTATCACCATTTTGGTTGAAGAACTACACCTATGTATAGTGGGCATATTGTTGATAGTTTTCTTTAATTTGACCTGGAAAGCAACCATAGACATTTGTTTTCAGTGAAATGGGTTGAGAATAATAACCGTGGCAGTAACTAGGGTATGGATATTACCTTGTTTATTCTTGGGTTTTGCTGCGTTTAATGCAGTGCTTGTATCGGGTTCAGCAAGTATTTTGAATTGAATGTTATTAAGTGCCAGAATGTGTCATATAAAAATTAGCTTATAGGCTTTGTAGAATTCTAAAGGAATCAAGGGATAGGCAGTTATGCTTGCACAGGAAGGAGCAGAGTGGCAGTGGATTTCTGGTTCTTAGTTTGTTCTTTTGTACTTTATAAGTCTCCTCCTTTTTGGGATGGAGTGGTGGTAGAAGGAAGAGTAGAACCAATTGGTAAGTAAGTAGTGAGACAAAGCTGTAAACCTAAAGTTGTAGAGGGACAGTAATAATTTGAGAGAAGAATATTGTGAGTTACATTGGCTGCTTTTGAAAGCATGGTTCCAGTGGTCCTAACACTCTGTCATCAAGCCTAAATGGTGTAGCCCTTGAGATTAGAGACTGCCCCTTACTCATCTGTGTATTCCTAGCATCTAGCATACAACAGGGACTCATCATTCAGTACAATAAATGTTTTTCAGTCACTGTCCAACAAAACTTGGAAGGTGTTGTAGAATCATCTCTAGGACAATTTAAAATGCTGCATAAAAAGCAGAAGAAAAAAATCTTTTAAAATTATTTTGAAAGCTATTTCAAAATAAATTTAAAGGCCTTCTGTTCTTTGTAATACTCATCGTTTCATATTACCAAATTGCTAGGCTTTAAATATATATGGTATTGTAAATGTATGAGTTTATTGACTTAGCCCATGTTATTGGAATTTGTTGGGAGTATACTGGTAAACATTTGATATTAAGCCTTATACGAGTTTAAACTTCAGAGTAGAAATTGTGCTTTTACAGATAGGACTTTTCAGCTAATTTTTGTGAATGCTGTGTGTTTACAATTATGTAGAGTCATTTAATTGTAACTTTCTAGTTGGAATGACTTTTAAGAATGCAAACTATTTTACCTTCTTCCTTAGCCTGAATGGTACCTGGCTCAGGTACTTATGTGGATTGCAAACCACACTCAGTTTCTGGATGAGAAGATTCAGCCTGTATTAGACAAAGTTGGCTCTTCAGTAAATGCAAGGGTAAGAGACGCAGTCCTAAGCATTTCAGTTTTAGTGTTGTATGTGTACAAGAATAACTTGTCATTTACATACTTTGTGATTATGCTTTTCTTTTAGCTTGAATTTTCTCGAGGCCTTATGATGCTGGTTCTTGAGAAGTTAGCTACTGATATTCCTTGCCTGCTCTATGACGACAATCTCTTCTGTCATTTGGTGGATGAGGTGCTTTTGTTTGAAAGGGAGCTACACAGTGTTCATGGCTATCCTACCACTTTTGCTAGTTGTATGCATATTCTATCAGAGGAAACCTGTTTTCAGAGATGGTTGACTGTGGAGAGAAAATGTAAGTGCTAATGTGTCCATTGGGTGGGGAGAGATGTCTGTTTATGTGTATATAATTTTTTTTTATATTTTCTTCCTCCAGTTCTGGCTAGGAACTAGAGCCATGTAAATTTTTCTTGGTTAGGGTTTACGAAGTTGCTTTCAAAGATCATCTTATTTTCTTTTTTCCCGTTAAGCTTCAAATTCTCTTATAATTATACTCTGCATATTTCTAGAGAGGAATATTCAAGCCAGTTGGGTGTATAACTGTTTATATAGAATTTATGTATGGTATTTTTGCTCTTGGTAGAATTTCTTTGGTTGTAGCTGGTTTAGTCAGTATAACTATTTTGAAGATTTGTTGGCGGGAAAGCAAAGTGTCTAGTTTAACTCTGAAATAGAGCATGTTAAGTGTAGTGCCACTAGCAGGAGGTTGTGAAAGGAGCCCTGGTGGCACAGTGGTTAAGTGCTCGGCCACTAACCAAAACGTTGTCTGTTCGAACACACTAGCTGCTCCACAGGAGAAAAGATGTGGCAGTCTGTATCTATAAAGATTACAGCCTTGGAAACCCTATGGGGCAGTTCTACTCTGTCCTGTATGGTTGCTGAGAGTCAGAATTGACTCAGTGACAATAGATTTGGTTTTGGGGTTTGGTAAGTTTGTATTTTATAGAAAAGAAATCATTCCTAAAAAAATTATAAGTTGAAAAGTTAAGAATAACTGTCACTTTAACTGACCTAATCCTGTTTTCTACATATCAGTTGCTCTTCAAAAAATGGACTCAATGCTTTCATCAGAAGCTGCCTGGATATCCCAGTATAAGGATATCACTGACGTGGATGAAATGAAAGTTCCAGACTGTGCAGAAACTTTTATGACTCTACTCTTGGTTATAACTGGTAAATACACATTTTTTAAGATGTGACTTTGTTTTTAAAAGTACTGACTTTTCATTTGGTACTTTTTCAAGTAGTTTAATGAAACTAATACTAGATAGTGGTTATTATAGTACCTTCAAATTCTGTTTCTCTTTTGGCAGAAATCAAGTATAATATTCTGACTTTGGGATGTTTAATAATTTAAGTAAGAACTTAAACATGGGTATACATGAAGAAACACTTCTTGAATTGTTTTACATAAAAACAAGTAATTTAATTTTATCATCCTAACTCTCTTGCCATTCATCTTTTTAAATGTCTTCATTGAATGGTGATTGACCCAAATTTTAAATATTATTTCCTTGGCCTTGATTTGTCAAAGATTAAAGAAGAGAGTAAAATAATAAAGTAACTTTCAGGATTGGCGTAATAATAGGAACGTTTCATATGGTGGAGGAATTTCCTGGCCAGAGGGTGGCACCACAGCCTCTATCCCTGCTGATTCTCCAGGTGCCACTGGGCCCTTCGCCACCTTCCTCCTCTATTCTATTTCTTGGACCTGTACAGTAGAAATGTTACTCCCGCCAAGTCAGTAAATAATTCCATATTCTTAACTGTAGGAAAAATAATGAAAAAAAAAATATACATATATAAAATACTAAAACACAAGAAAATTAAAGTAAAACTTACGTCTTTTAAAAACTTTTTATTAGGAAAATTTTCAAAGTAGAATAATATAATGAATCCTCAGGTACCTGTTACCAAGGTTCAAAACAATTAATTGCTTTTCTGTTATGTATTTTTCTTCCCAACTTTTTTTTCCTGGAGTATTTTAAAGAAAATTTCAGACATCTTATCTTTTCATCTATATTACTTTTAAGTATGTATTTCTTTTAATCTATCATAGTTCCTCCTTTCTTTTTTTAAAATGCCATTTATTTGTTGAATTTTGGAACTAGAGCCATGTAAATTTTTCTTGGTTAGGGTTCACCAAGTTGCCCTCAGAGATTATCTTACTTTCTTTTTTTCCTATCAAACTTCAGTTTTTTTCTCTACTGTATATAATTTTCTCATTTTTTTTTAAATTGAGATAATTTACATATAGTGAAATACACAGATCTTAAATATACAGTTGAGGGAATTCTGGCAAACTTATATACTTGTTGAGCCCACATCTTTAGAGAACTTAGACCTATAATTGAATGGTAAATTGTTTTTTTGACAGTCATCAAAGCAATTTAATGGGGGAAAACCTGTAACTACATCACGGACAATACCAAAAATTTTATGTCTTTTTAACTTTCTCAACAGACAGGTATAAAAATCTCCCTACAGCTTCCCGAAAGCTGCAGTTCCTGGAGTTACAGAAGGACTTAGTAGATGATTTTAGGATACGATTAACTCAGGTGATGAAAGAAGAGACTAGAGCTTCCCTTGGCTTTCGATACTGTGCAATTCTTAACGCTGTTAACTACATCTCAACAGTTCTAGCAGATTGGGCTGATAATGTTGTAAGTTAATGTGTTATTGTATTAAGTAATGTATTAGTAGTTAGAACTATTTACGTTTTAAAACATTAAATCTATCTCAAGAAAAAATACACATATTAGGCAGAATCATAATAATGTCAAATTTAGGTGTGACTAAAGTACACATTTTTCTCAATCAGAAAACCCATTGGTTAAGTAATCCTGGGATTTTAATGTGTATAATCATTGGAAAAGAAAGTTAGCCTTTTAAGAAATAATTGTTTATAGAATGAACCCCTTCCTCTTTTGACTTTATATTCAGGGGACATACTCATGTGGGTAATTGCCATCACAGAAAAAGTTAAGATTAAATAATGGTGTCAAAATCAAGAAAAGCTAGGACTTCAAGGAAAATAAAAGAATAACATTATTTGATACCTCTTGACTGCTTTCAAAACATGACAGATTCTATGAAGAATCCTAACAAAACCCAGAAACATTATTTTTTAATTTTTAATTATTTTATATATTTAAAAATTATTTTAGCATTTTATTATCAACATATACATGAGTAAGTAGAATAGTAAAATGAACCCCCGTGTGGCCACCACTCTGCTTCATATACCAGTTTTGTTTCATTTAAACCCTCCTCCACCCCCCACACTTGATTATTTTGAAGTAGATCTCAGATACCATATTTCATAGTAAACATTTTCGTATGTGTCTCTAAAAGAAAAGAAACTTTTTTTAAAAAACATAACCACAATATCATTATCACACCTAAAAAAATATAACTAAATCTTTATATTAAAACCACGAAACCAAATTCCGACTCATAGCGACCCTATAGGACAGAGTAGAACTGCCCATCGGGTTTCTAAGGCTCTAATCTTTGTGAAGGAAGACTGCCACATCTTTCTCCCTTGGGGCGGCTGGTGGGTTCGAACCACCAACCTTTCAGTTATCAGCCAAGTGCTTAACCACTGTGCCACCAGGGCTCTTTCTTCTTTATATTAGAAGATATATTTTAAAATAACTCTGTGAAGATCAAAACCTTGGATCAGTTAATATGTACTGTAACATGTAAACAGTTCAACATAGAGTTACCATATAACACAGCAATTCTCCTAGATATAGATCCAAGAAGAGTTGAAAATGTATGTCCGCACAAAAATTTGTACATTAATGTTTATAACAGTGAAAAAAGTAGAAATAACCCAAATAGCCAAAAAAGTAGAAACAACGCAAATGTCCATCAACAAAGAATAGATACATAAAATGTACTATATCCATACAATGAAATATTATTCAGCAATAAAAAGGAATGAAGTACTGATCCATGTATGTGGATTAACCTTGAAAACATTATGCTAACTTAAAGAAGTCAGATACAAAAGGCCACATATTTTGATTCCATTTATATGAAATGTCCAGAATAGGCAAATCTATAGAGACAGAAAGTAGATTAGTGGTTGTCTAGGATTGGTGGAACGGTGTGGGTGGGGGGATTGAGGGGTGATGGCTATGGGGTGTGGGGTTTTTTTGGGGGGTAATTAATGTTCTAAAATGGACTGTGGTGATGGATGCATGACACAGTAAATATATTAAAAGCCTTTGTACACTTTAAATGGGTGAATTATATGTTATGTATATGAATTATATCTTAAGCTGTTAAAAAAAATATGTTACCATGTTTTTGCTTCCAGTTCTTTCTACAACTTCAGCAGGCAGCACTGGAGGTCTTTGCAGAGAATAATACACTCAGTAAATTGCAGCTAGGACAACTAGCCTCTATGGAGAGTTCTGTCTTTGATGACATGATTAACCTTTTAGAGCGTTTAAAGCATGACATGTTGACGCGTCAAGTAGACCATGTTTTTAGAGAAGTTAAGGATGCTGCAAAATTATATAAAAAAGAAAGGTAAATCCTCTCTATTTTCTTTAAGTCAACTCTGGTTTGGTGAAAGTTAAAAGATGGTACGTGCAATCAAGTTTCCAAGTTTCTAGGCAGGACAGGGAATGGCCTTTTGTACTCCAAACTTGTAACTGTTTTTGATGGAAATCTTTCTAAAATATATTCTTTCAGACCCTCTTAATCAGAATAAGCTGATAATTTAACCTTAAGATGTGTTTGTAAATATAGAGAGGTGGTGTGTGATCTTGGTTGAATGGACTAGCCTGTCACCCATTTTACACAGTAAGGTGCTTCTGTAGTACTGTGTGCATGCTTCCATTGTACCATCTATTCCACTGCCATGATTCCCTCTGGACACCTTTTAGCTTCGAGTACTTGAGAGCAAATGATGTCTGTTTGTCCTAGCACAATCCGTGCCACAGAATACTTATAATCATTTGGAAGTGTTATTAATCCCCATTGAATTAGCTGATGTCTTAAATGCTAATACATTTTACATTTTCGCTGGTTTATAATTACATCTGTAAACCATATAAAATTTTAGTGATTGTTTTTTTGAAATGTTTTATCTATGATCCTCATATTAAATAGAGTATTTAATTGAGACCTAAAGTTTAAATATGAATACGTTTATTTTCTGATAGAGCTTTTAATGTTGGGTTGTACTTTTTTTCTTATCCAGAATGTACCAGGACTATTTAAACACAGTGCACTTCCCAAAATGTGAAATAATTTGTTAAATCTTTAGAAATATGAGGTGATGAGAAATTTTATGGTAAAACTTGTGCTCCAAGCTGTGTTGTTCTTGTTTTTTCCAGATGGTTGTCTTTGCCATCTCAGTCAGAGCAAGCAGTAATGTCCCTGTCCAGTTCAGCCTGTCCGTTACTGCTTACTTTACGAGACCGCTTACTTCAGTTGGAGCAGCAGCTTTGTTTCTCCTTATTTAAAATTTTCTGGCAGATGCTTGTAGAGAAACTGGATATATACATCTACCAAGAAGTAAGTAAGAGTAGATGATATTATTGGACTGTGATGATAAAGGCAGTTGTTACATCATGAATTATTCTTTGTTTCAGATCATTCTTGCTAATCACTTCAATGAAGGAGGAGCAGCTCAGTTGCACTTTGATATGACTCGGAATCTTTTCCCTTTGTTTTCCCACTATTGCAAGAGACCAGAAAATTATTTTAAGCAGTAAGCTCAATACTTAACTATTAATGGATACATCAAATTGGTAGAGGAAGTTGACTCTTTTTTTAAAATAACTTTAGGGTCCCAATGATGTTTGGTGGAATAGGTATAGGATCAATTAAAAAATTAAAACATTCATGTTATATCTACTGTATGCTCAGAGCACAATGCTAAACACAATTGGGAAACCAAACTAGTATAAGGTGTGACCGTTGATTCCAAGAGTTTACCAGAGTAGATATAAATTACCTCTCAGGTTTTGTTTTTTAGCATTTGGTTTAATGCCCCTATTTGCTTATTACTGGGGGATAAAATAAAAATGAAAGCAAGTACAGTTCTGCCATATTCAAAGAAATTCCAAATGTGTTTAGTAACTAATAAAATAGGCCAGGCCTGAAGGAAATGTTTTTCTTAAATTTTTTATATTACTTTCTAAGTATAACTATAAATTTATGTAAGAATAATTCTTAGAAGTTTTTTTCTGATTTTGTTGGTTTAAAATTTAAATTATTTAGGGAGTTTCTGAGATTATAAAGTATTTATTTTAAGCATATTATAAAATGAAAAATTATTTTTGCTGATTTCAGTTAGATATTTAACTATTCTTGATTTTTTGTTTCAGTATTCTACCTTTTTGCTATTTCTTTCATTTTATTCCTTAATTAACTTTCTCTTTTCCCATATTCTAATTTACTTTAAGTCTTAACTACCCCTAATAGACTATTAGTATCAAGTAATATATGTAGGGTAGTAATCTATGCATATTAAAAACAGAAGTCCCTGAGTGGTATAAACCATAAAGGAGTTTGACTGCTAACTGAAAGGTTGGTGGTTTAAATCCACCCAGAGGTGCCTCAGAAGAAAGGCCTGGCGACTTACTTTAGAAAAATCAGTAAATTGAAAACCCTGTGGTGCATAGTTCTACTCTGACACACATGGGGTCACCATGAGTCGGAATCCACTCAATAGCAAGTGGTTACTGGTTATTATCGACAGTACCCTAGTGGAATATAGACTGTGTATATATAGTCTACCATGTTAAAAAAGCCAAATAATAAGATCCATGAGTAGTCTTTATAGAGGACATGGGGACTACCAGTACAGGGAAGTACTCACTTTCTCAAAATAAAAGTTGTTATAGGTTAATGGGGATGATATAGATAACAGAGATCTCACTTCCCTCTTGCTATTTTTTTAAACAGCATAAAAGAAGCTTGTATCGTCCTGAATTTGAACATTGGTTCTGCCCTACTTCTGAAAGATGTACTGCAATCAGCTTATGGGCAACCTCCAGCCACGGCGGCATTAAATGAAATTGGAATTTACAAACTGGCTCAACAAGATGTTGAGATTCTACTTAATTTGAGAACAAATTGGCCTAATACTGGAAAATAATACAAGTTTTTCAAGAAGAGCTTTTTGAGATTTTTTTTTTAACAAAGAGAGAGCCAGTTAGATTTCAACTTATGTGATGATGTTCTGTATTGATGAAACTGGACAACTGAAAACTTCAAAGACTCATTTATTATCTTGGACTTCACGTTATTATTAAAATCCTGACCATATAGCTCGAAACCTCTTGTCCCTAAGGAAAAAAAAAAAAAGACATAATATTCAGAAACTATGAAAACTAAGTAATTCCATTTATAAATATAAATGCTGATGTGTCTGTCTGTTGAAAATACAAAAGCAGAGATAATAAATTATGATTGACTTTCAATATCCTGTGCTAATTGAGACTGTTGTGGATAATCAAACATAGTGAATAAATTTTTTAAAAAATTACTTTAGAATGCATGTTTATAATTCAAGTTCCTGTGTCTAGTCTGGGAATTCACTGTACTTCCATAAGAAAACATACTGAAATGGTGACTAAGGTAGGATCGGCCTTCATTTTCCCCAAATGTCCTACCATTTAAAATACTTCCTAGTTCCATTCCAGTGGCAGTGGGCAGCTTTTTCTTTCAGAATGAAACATTTCAAGCCAGAGCACTCTGCCTCACTTTCTCCTGGGGTAGGGAATGTAATTAAACATTTTTTGCTTCATATTTATGTAACTGATGATGAGGTGAGAATCTTAAACTTTCTTCTTCTTCTAACTTTTCCCTGGTCTTGGGCTGTATTAATGATTTCTTGATTAATAAATCTTCAGAGTAAAACTTTTCAACAAATTGAGCTAGATTAACTGGAGGCTTTATATAACCGTCAAATTTTATTCCAATATATTTTTTTCCTGACTTAGCATTCAGTTAGTACTTTTCATGCTCTAACACCTCAAATCTACATTTTCCAGGTTATGCTGGCATGCAACGTACATTACTGATAAACATTTACTTTGCACTAGATAATTTTGAGGAAATATTTTGAGATAAATTATATTACTTTACCCAAAGCAATATATAGATACAGTGCAATCCCAATCCAAATCCCAACAGCATTCTTCAACGAGATGGAAAAACTAATCACTAACTTTACACAGAAGGAAAAGAGGCCCCAAATAAGTAAAAAGCTTTATTAAAAAAGAAGACAAAATAGGAAGTCTCACACTACCTGATCTCGGAACCTACTATACAGTTATGGTAGTCAAAACAGCCTGGTAGTGGTACAACAACAGACACGTAGACCAATGGAACAGAATTGAGAAGGCAGGCATAAATCCATCCACCTATGGACAGCAGATCTTTGACAAAGGACCAAAGTTTACTGAATGGGGAAGAGATAGTCTCCTCAACAAATGGTGCTAGCAAAACTGCATATCTTTGAGAATCCATACCTCATACCACACACAAAAACTAACTCAAAATGGATCTAAGACCTAATATAAAACGTAAAACTATATAGATCATGGAGGAAAAAATAGGGACAATGCTGGGGCCCTAACATATAGCATAAATAGAATACCAAACATAACTAAAAATGCACACATAGAAGAAGATGAACTAGATAAACACGCTCAACAAAAGAGTAAAAAGAATCTACGGACTGGGAAAAAAATTTTGGCTATGACATATCCAACAAGGGTCTAATCTCTAAAATTTATAGAAAACTTCAACACCTCAACAAAAGAAGAAGACAAATAATCCAGTTAAAAAATGGGCAAAGGATATGAACAGGCACTTCACCAAAGAAGACATTCAGGCTGCTAACATATGAAGAAATGCTTGTGATCATTAGCAATTAGATGGCAAATCAAAACTACAATGAGATACCATCTCACGCTGACATTACTGGCACAAATTAAAAAAACAAAATAACCAATGTTGGTGAGGTTGTGGCAAGACTGGAACTCTTATACACTGCCGGTGGGAATGTAAAATGATACGATTGCTATGGAAAACGGTATGGCACTTTCTCAAAAAGCCAGAAATAGAAATACCATATGATCCAGCAATCCCGCTCCTAGGTATATACCCTAAAGAAATAAGAGATGTGACATGAATAGGCATATGTACACCCATGTTCACTGTAGCAAAAAGGTAGAAGCAACCTAAGTGCCCATCAAGAGATGAATGGATTAACAAACTGTGGTACATACACACAATGGAATGCTATGCAATGATGAAGAATAATGACAAATCCATGAAACATAACAGGGATGAATTTGTAGGACATTATGCTGAGTGAAACAAGCCAATCACAAAAGGACAAGTATTGTATGAGACCGCTATTATAAAGTAACAACAAAAGGTTTACACAGAGGAAAAAAAAATTCTTTGATGGTTACCAGGAATGGGAGGGGGAGCGAGGGAGGGAAAATTACAAAATAGATAGTAACTCAAAAAACCAAACTCATTGCCGTCAAGTCGATTCCAACTCATAGCAATCCCATAGGGCAGAATACAACTGCCCCATAGGGTTTCCAGGGAGTGGCTGGTGGATTTGAACTGCCGACCTTTTAGTTAGCAGCTGAGCTTTTAACCACTATGCCATCCGGGCTCCAAAAACAGACAGTAGACACGTGTTAATATTGGTGAAGGAAAAGACAATACACAATATGGGAGAAGTCGGCACAACATGACCAAGGCAAGAGAGGACACTGAGAGGAACACAGGAATAAAGGACAACTACGGTAACTACTAGAGCATACACAATCCTGCATCAATAGTATTGACAAACAATAATTTATGAATGGATACATACATAGATCGATAGGCCAAGAGGTGAGGGAGGGTGTAAGGGAGCACAACCACCACCAGATACAGGTTTGGTGATGGAAATTTCTAAATACATGACTGTAGGTGCTCCTCAAATTAATACAGACAATAGAGCACACAAGTGGCACAGTCAGGGAAACCTCTTAGACATAACTAAACACGTCATCGGGTGAATTTCCCACACTCAAAGGCAAAAGACCATAGACTTGTTGTTAGGTGCCACCAAGTCAGTTCTGACTCATAGCGACCCCGCATACAACAGAACAAAACACTGCCCAGTCCTGTGCCATCCTCACAATTGTTGTTATGCTTAAGCCCATTGTTGCAGCCACTGTGTCAATCCATCTCATTGAGGGTCTTCCTCTTTTTCGCTGACCCTCTATTCTACCAAGCATGATGTCCTTCTCCAGGGAGTGATCCCTCCTGACAACATGTCCAAAGTATGTGAGATGTAGTTTCGCAATCCTTGCTTCTAAGGAGCATTCTGGTGGTACCTCTTCCAAGACAGATTTGTTCGTTCTATATTCAATATTCTCCAGCACCACAATTCAAAGGCGGCAATTCTTCTTCAGTCTTCCTTATTCATCTTCCAGCTTTCACATGCGTAGGAGGCGACTGAAAACCCCATGGCTTGGGTCAGGTGCACCTTTGTCTTCAAGGTGACATCTTTGCTTTTCAACACTTTAAAGAGGTCTTTTGCAGCAGATTTGCCCAGTGCAGTGCGTCTTGATTTCTTGACTGCTGCTTCCATGGGTGTTGATTGTGGATCCAAGTAAAATGAAATCTTTGACAACTTCAATCTTTTCTCCATTTATCATGCTGTTGCTTACTGGTCCAGTTGTGAGGATTTTTGTTTTCTTTATGTTGAGGTGTAATCCATACTGAAGGCTGTGGTCTTTGATCTTCATCACTAACTGCTTCAAGTCCTCTTCACTTTCAGCAAGCAAGGTTATATCATCAGCATAACGCAGGTTGTTAATGACTCTTCCTCCAATCTTGATGCCCCGTTCTTCCTCATACAGTCCAGCTTCAAATAATCTGAGAAGCTGGACCACAGACTTAGGAGACATCTATGTCAACTGGCACAACGTAGTTCTTAAAGACGATGTTCTATATCCTACTTTGGTGAGTAGTGTCTGAGGTCTTAAAAGCTTGGGAGCAGCCATCTAAGATACAATTATTGGTCTCTTCCAGTGCAGAGCAAAGGAGAACAAAAAAAAACAAAAGACTCAAGGGAGCAATTAGTTCAAAGTACCAATGGACCACATGAACCACAGCCTACATGACTTTGAGACCGGAAGAACTAGATGGTGCCTGGCTACCACTACTGACCACTCCGGCTGGGATTACAACAGAGGGTCCCGAACAAAGCAGGAGGAAAATGTAGAACAAAAGATGAAATTCACAAAAAAGACCAGACTTACTGGTCTGACAGAGAATGGAGGAACCTCTGAGACTATGGCCCTAAGACACCCTTCTGACCTGGAACTGAAGCTGTTCTCAGAGACTACCTTCCAGTCAAACAACAGACAAGGCCATAAAATAAACAATAACACCTGAGAGGAACATGCTCCTTAGAAAAATCAATTACAAGAGATCTAAAGGGCAATATTTGCCCAAAATCAAAGATGAGAAGGCAGGAAAACAAAGAAACAAAAAAACCAAACCTGTTACCATCAAGTCGATTCTGACTCATAGCAACCCTACAGGACAGAGTAGAACTGCCCCCATAGAGTTTCCAAGGCTATAAATCTTTAATGAAGAAGACTGCCACATCTTTCTCCTGCGAAGCAGGTGGTAGGTTCGAATCATCAACCTTTCAGCTAGCAGCCAAGCACTTAACCACTATCCAAGAAGGCAGGAAGGGGTAGAAAATCAAGATGAAAGGAAATGGGGAAACCAGGGCAGAAATGAAGAGAGTGCTGACACATCACGGGGAATGAAGCCAAAGACATGAAAAACTTTATGTACAAACTATCGAATGCGAATCTAATTTGCTTTGTAATGCACAATTTAAAAAAGAAAACAAGGAGAAATAATTCTATTACTGTGTATTTTATACATAGATATTTCAAATTAGGGTATTGAGCTCGAAGCTTTTCTGCTAGTTCTAGCAGATGAGGGCTTTTCCACCTCATTCTTTGTGAGAATTGCTGGGGTTTTCCACGAGAAAAGAATGAAGCTGCCTCTGGAGCTTCCTAACTTCAGCATTTTCTCCCTCCTTTCCTCAAGCTTAGAGACTTTATTATCAGCCCTCTTGTCCTCACTTTCTAGTCAGCTGAAAGTGTCAAGGGAATGAAAAACTCTCTAAAGGCAGGAACCTCTATTCTAGAATGTAATTTTACTTAAAAATCATGACATATTAAAATATTCGTCATTCAAAAATAAACTTACACTTCGTTCCTGAATTTTTCCAAGGTTATTGCATGTCCATCATCTTTTAAAACTTCATCTGCAGTACACAGACCCAAGGTCTTTAGGGCTATAAAAGTCAGAACGAGAAAAAATGAAAATTTACAAAGTGAGGATTATTTTCAGCTAAAGAAAGTTTTGGAATGACCACAAACTACTATCTAAATTTCTAGAAGATACTGACCTTCTTTATACTGCACAAATGATATGGTGCCTCTATTCGAGGAGTCCAACATCTCAAACATAGCCACAATATTAGTGTTATCCATAAAGAAAGAAAAAGCCACGCCTGTTACTTGGGCAATTCTCAGTCTTTCCAATGTAGCTATTAAATATTCTCTCGGTTTTCCTGCAAAACAGTTCCATTTATTTCTGATATAAAATTTAAAATATATCACAAATGCAAATAGTCTTTTAACAATTATTAAACACCTATGTTATTTAGGGGGGGTTATTGCTTATGGGGATCCCTGGTAGCAGAGTGGTTAAGTGCTCAGCTGCTAACCAAAAGGTCTGCAGTTTGAACCTACCAGCTGCTCCTTTGAAACCCTATGGGCGCAGTTCTACTGTGTCCCATAGGGTCGCTATGAGTCAGAATCGACTCGACAGCAATGGGTTGTTTTTTTTTTTTTAATCACTTATAGAGTACTGAGTTTCAGTTTACGGTGATGGAAAAATCACACTGATTAAGGATAGAGTTGCAAAGCTGATTAATCTAATTGCTGTCAATAAATTATACATCTATAAAAAGTTGAATTGGCAAAATTTGTGTGATAGATATATCTACAAAAATGAAAAAAAAAAAAAAAAAGAGTAGCTGCTGAAGCTGCTTATGTACAACCAAACATTTCATGGGATTTGGTTCCCTGGTTTGAAGGCTGTCATGGATTGAATTGTGTCCGCCCAAAAATGTGTGTAGCAACTTGGCTAGGTCATGATTCCTAGTATTGTATGATTGTGTTATCTGATGTGATTTCCTTATGTGTTGTAAACTCTACCACTATGATGAGATTATAGGTGATCTCCTCATGTGTTATAAATTCTATCACCGTGATGAGGTTGACAAGATTAGTGTCTTAATGCAATCTCTTTTGATATATAAAAGAGAGAAGCGAGCAGAGACACATGGGAACCTCATACCACCAAGAAAGCAGTGCTGGCAGCAGAGCACGTCCTTTGGACCTGAGGTTCCTGCGCAGAGAAGCTCCCAGACCAAAGGAAGATTGATGACACAGACCTTCCTCCAGAGCCAACAGAGAAAGCGTTCCTCTGGAGCTGATGCCCTGAATTTGGACTTGTAGCCTACTGGACTGTGAGAGAATAAATTTCTCTTTGTATAGCCATCCACTTGTGGTATTTCTGTTGGAGCAGCACTAGATGACTGAGACAAAGGTTTAGGGTCATGGTTTCATGGGACATCCCAGTGAATTGGCCTAATAACATGTTTAGTGCTTCTGTTCTACCTCCTAGTTCACTGTGTGGTGCCTGGGCTCTTAAAAGTTTCCAAGCAGCCATCCAAGGTACAACAATTGGTATCTATTCACCTGGAGTAACAGAGGAAGAAGGAAAGTCAGGAATAGGAAGAGGATATGGAATGTGTGGCTAATTGCCTCCATGAACAACTGCCTCCTTTGCCACAAGACCAGAAGAACTGGATGGTGCCCAGCTACCATTGCTGAACACTTTTATCAAAGATTCTATAGAAGAACCTGATTAAAAGGGGGAAAATGAAGAACAGAATTTCAAATTCTCACAGACTCCAGACTTTCTGGAGTCAGCAGCTGGACAAACCCCTAAGACTATTGCCCTGAAATAACCTTTAAACCTTTGAACCAGAAATATCCCCTGAAGTCTTCTTAAAACCAAACAACAGTTTAGACTTAACTAGAAAAGAATGTCGTCTGCCTTGAGCACTGTGCTCTTTTTTTTTTTTTTTTTGAATTGTGCTCTTTTAAGACCTCTATATGGGATCAAATTGACAATAGCAACTCGAAAGACTAGATAGGAAACTTAGGGGGCAGTGAGTTTAGGTTATAGAGAAGGAACAACTCAGGAAAGGAGGGTGAGAACGGTTGCGCAACTCAAAGAATGTAATCAATGTCAATGAATTGTTCACGTAGAAATTGTTGAATTGGTGTACGTTCTGCTGTGTATATTCTCAACAACAAAAATTGTATATGAAAAAAGAATACACCCAAGAAAAGCCTATGGAGCAGTTGTACTCTGTACAATGTGTAGTTGCCATGAGTTGTAATAGACCAGGGGTGGGTAGCAATGGGAAAATCTTTATGGAAGCAGACTGCCAGGCCTTTCTTCCAGCACCACTGAGTGGGTTCAACCATCAGTCTTTAGGTTAGTAGTCAATCACAAATCCCTTTTGCCACCCAGGTGACTTAAAATGAAATTATCACCTTAACATAACTTTTTATCACATATCACACAAAAACTACAAAATGATTTAAACTTTGTAAGGGATTAGATGTGTAAAAAATGTCAGGAAAAGCTACCTCCTGAAGAAGAGCTGTCTTATTCTATCAACTGTTTACTTCCCTTACCAGATTAAAAATTCTTAACCCCTTAGTGACCTAATTATTTTCTGCTTTGAATTTTTTGTGGACTCCATGTGTTTTTATTAATGAAAGCATGCTGAAATCATTGTGTATGCAATTTTGGTAGGTAGAATGGATTTTTTTTTTCTTGTCCCTTCCCACAAGCCTACCCTAAGTGTTTAGTGGTACACATGAAGTACCACTAATTATACCCCAGAGGCCCCACCCGGGTCTATTGGTGCATATGTGTAACACATAAAAATTTTCAAAAATTCTATTTTTCCTACCAAAAATTCAGACACTCATACAATACCCTGTAAAAACAGTAGTTTGCAGTACACATCCATTTCTTTGGTTTCAAACAGTCATAAAGACCCCTGCCTTGCAGCAGCATGCACTGTCACTGGTACAGAAGCTTCCCAATAAACCTCAGAAGTTGAAAAAGTTCATGGTCGCTATATGTACCGCTGGCACGTTTCTTGCCAAATGTAAGGATGGTTCATTTTATTTTCCAATGAGATTGACACTATTATTATTCCGATTTTCTAGAAGAGGAGACTAAAATTTAGGGTCTTTACTAAGGGGTGGAGCCAGAAGCCTCTGACACCCGATCCTCCCACCTGCTATGAGCCTGCCATCTGCTCAAGTCCCGACGCACCTGGCTTGTGGCTGGCACAAAGAGGTCTTTCAATAAGTATTTGTGTAATTGAGTCAGTTAGCTCAAACAGCCGAGAAGCACAAGAGTGTGTGTGTCGAGGTGAGAGTTTCCGGGAGAGTCACGGGCGTGGAGGGGTGGCTGTACCGTGCAGAGAGGCAGGTGGGACACAAAGCCGAGTGGTAGGCAAGACCCTTACCCGGCCGGCAAAAGAGGAGTGCGCTGGTGAGCAGGTTCAGCAACTCCATGATCTTATGTTTTTCCAAATATTCCTTGGCCTCGCGTTCCCGGTTGCGGCTGGCCTCCATGGCTCCGCGTAGGGCCGTCGCTAGGCAACCAGGCCCCATCGCGGCTGTTCGGGCGCCTGCGGGGCCCCGCCTCTCTCCCGCCCGGCGCGGTCACATGACGCACCTCCTCTCTGCTGCGACCTGGCGTCGGAGTTCTACGCTCCCCGGGGAGGGGAAGCACCGAGGGCAAGTGGCCCGGATAGAGGCGGGGCCGGGGTACGCGGAGGCGTGAGGGATACGGGTGCGGCGGCAGTTGTGGGCCGGCTGGCTGGGTCCCTATCCCAGGTTGAGGGGTGGGCCTGATTGTGTTTTCATGTTTCTGACTCCAGCCCCAAACTCAGTAAATAGCCCGGTACTTGTTGGGCTCAGTACTTGCTGATCCAATGAATGAGACCTCGTGTGCTAAAAACACAGGATGAACTAATAAAAACAGGAACTTAGGTAATTCTGAGGTTGTCCATGGGAGAGCCCTAAGCAGCATCTTTGGTGTGCGCAGCTTGCAGGCATTACACTGGCAATATGGCAGGAACGTCTCAATCCATGTGACCGGATTGTAGGTCATGAAGCTTGAATGCATGGATCCTGAGCTTTAGTATCTCTGTTGCTGCTGCTTAATTAGACCGCAGTTTTGAGGGCGGCTAGGTAAGGTGAGATGCAGTTGGCTAGAAGGACCTCCACTCAGTATGGAGTTACTTGAGAAAGTAAAACTTGAGGCTGGGACATCTGTACTTGAGGGCCAGTTTCTGAAGCCTGGGCCCTTGTCCCTCACCACAGTTAGCTCAGAACAAGCACTTCAAGAAGAGGAAAGACAAACGGCCAGTAAACGTATGAAAATATTCTCAACCTCTTTTTAGTAATTCTGCAAAACAAAAACACAAAGAAATACCATTTTACATCTACCAGACTAGCAAAAATTAAGAAGTTGCACAATATGAACTGTCAAGGATATATTGCAAAGAAACAGTTACTGATGATGAATGTGTAAATTAGAACATCCACTTTGGAAAACCGTTTGGAAATTATCTAGAAAATTTAAACATACTATGACCCAGAGATTCTCCTCCTAGAGCAACTCTTACACATATGTACCAGCAGGCATACAAGAATGTTTACAGCAGCAGCACTGTTCATAATATTAAAAAAAAAAAAAAAAAAAAAAAAACTGGGAACAACCAAAATGTCATCAAGACTAGAATGGAATAAAAAAAAAAAAAAGCTGTGGTATATTTACACAATAATATTTTAACACATTACAACAACGAATTGTAGCTACTTGCAACAACATAAGTGAATCTCAGAAATATTGTCTCAAAAGAATATATATTGCAAGAATCAATTTATATAAATATAAAAAACATCCAAAATTAAACAATATATGCTTTACAGATTCAAACATATGTAGGGAATCTATTATGAAAACAAAGGGAATAATAAACACACAATTCAGCCTAGTGTTTGCCTCTGTGGTGGGAGGAAAAGGGTTTGGGGAGATAGGAGGAGCCCTGGTGGAGCAGCGATTAAAGCAGTCAGCTGCTAACCAAAAGGTTGGCGGTTCAAACCCACCAGCTGCTCTGTGGGAGAAAGATGTAGTAGTCTGCTTCCTTAAAGATTTATAGCCTTGAAACCCTACGGGACAGTTCTACTCTGTTTCTTAGAATTAGTATGAGTTGGAATCAACTTGGCGGCCATGGGTTTGGTTATTTGATTTTGGGGGAGACAGAAGACTGAAGGAGTTATGGTAATGTGATTTTTCTTTATCTGAGTGGTGTGTACACAGGTGCTCATTGGATTGTGATTCTTTATAGTGACAAAATCGTTTTGGTTCTCCTGGAATCCAGATTTCTGGGTTCATGGAATTGGGGTGTCCCACCCAGGCCATCTGCCCTTAGGTGTCCTTTTGAACCTTGAATGAACTGGTTCCCTGGAGTCACCTTTAGGTCTAACAATACCTTAGCAAGAAGCTTAGTGGAGAGCATTTTTGCCTCAGGCATTGGGTTGTTTTGGGAAATTATGTGCGGCTAGCTTCCAGAGCTGGTTAAAGCACCTGTCTAGTAAACAGGAGATCCTAGGTTTGAATCTCAGAGGTGCCTTGGTCAATCAAGAGCAGTATATTATTGGAGCCCTGGTGGTGCAGTGGTTAAGTGTTGGGCTGCTAACCAAAAGGTTGGCAGTTAGAATCCACCAGCTGTTCCTTGCAAACCCTTATGGGACAGTTCTCTGTCATAAAGGGTCACTATGAGTCAGAATCAAATTTTTAGCCAGCTTCAAAGCAGGAACTCCAGGGTCTGACTAGAGTTATAAAATTTTTTTCATCAACTCAACATTTAATAAAAGTAATTTTTTAAAAATTAATTTCATCTGTAAATATTAAGTATGGTTAATAAAAGTAATTTTAAACAATTGAAAAATAGAGGATATTGCAGGAGCAAATAGCAGAGTGCTTTGCCAACTTTTTAGCCACAGAATTCTTTAAAAGAAATCATATGTGGAATCTGGATATGTAAAGCAGATAAAAGAGGAGCACAGAATTGGGTTCACACTTCATGACAGGATCACAGTATCTAAGCTACTTTCTTTGTGCTTTTCTCACAGAGGCGTGGCTGTAGCCTGAGTGACCATGGTGAAAGAATTAACTGGAGACTGGGGGCCCCTAGCCCAGGGGCAGGACTAAGGTGACAAAGCAGGTGCACTGCTCCCAGGCCTGTGGACCCAAGGACCCACTCAGACTCCTGTTCCTGATGGCTTCTTGGGACATATGAAAACTGCTGATGTAGGTGGGGCATTACTTTTCAGTGTTTTTTGATCCAGTCCTTTGGGACTTGCTTTATATTTCTTGGTGGAGGGCACACTGAAACACCAAGAGCAATGCTTAGATTATGCACCCCCCTCTAAATCCTGGCCACCTAAATACGTGACCCTTTAGAGTTGACCAAGGATGGATGATCAGTTGGGAAAGCAACTCTGGCTCTTCTTTGGGGTCAGTCAGCACTGACAGACCAGACAATGGCAGAGGCATCAAGAATGGAGAGGGACCCTTTGCAGAGGAGGATAATGGCTGCAAGAAGCAGAAGACCACAGGTCACAATATACAGAAGGGTCTGGCTTACATTCCTGGGCTGCAACCACGTGTGTGAGGGCTGGGAACCAAATAGCACTGCTGTTGTTATGGTGTCCTGTGAGTGGCTCAAGGCCAGTGTGGCCTGGGGAGAGAAAAGTAAAAATGTAAGGAACATTTCTTAATGGAGGGAGAGGGGGCTGAGTGTCAGTCTACTGGTACAGAGATTTCTGCTCAGTGCTCTAAGAGAAGACATTTGTTCTTCTCCTTGAGAACTTCCTTTATTTACTCTTCAGGAGTTACTTAGTCCCAGAATAAAAAGCTTTGCTCTTCGTGCTCTAGAACTCAAATGACACTGAAATTGCAACCATCTGCTTTCCTATGAAGTCAGGCTGAGAAGAGCACATTGGGCCCTGCTGACCTCTCCCCAGGCCGCCAGTTGGTTTCTGTTCCAACAAACCTGGGTGCCTTCCTTTGTCAAAAGAACAACATGGTCTACTCAGGGCTCTTCCTCACAACATACCTCAGGCAGCCATGGCCTTGAATCTCTAGTTCCCCTGGAAAACATGCTAACGGGAAGTATCCAGATGCCACCTAGTATCAATGCCATCTTTCAATAAGCCAAACTGGGCTTAATTAATTGCCATCATAATACTTCTTCTCCCAGTCCTTGTTCCCCACCTTCTCATTATTATTATTACAATCCCCTCCAGTGGTTTGTGAGGGAACTCCAAGTGGAAGGCATTAACTCAGTGATCCTCAACCAGGGCTACACAGTAGAACCACCTGGGGCCCTTTAAAAAATCCCAGTGTGTGGACCCCACTACAGGCCCATGAAACTGAATCTCATGGGATGGAGCCTAGGCACTGGTAGTTGTTGTTGTCTTCAATAGCTTTATTAAGATAAAATTAAAACATATGTTCAAGATAATGAACATATCCATCACCCCAAAAAGTTTCCATGTGTCCCTTTGTAGTTCCTTCCTCTCTGCCCTCCCCATCTCTGCCTCCCTAGCCCCCAGGCAGCTACTTACTTATTATCTGTAACTATAGAATAGTTTGCATCTTCTAGAATTTTATGTAAATGGAATCTACAGTATGTACTCTTCTTTGGCTGGCTTCTTTCATTCAGTGTAATTATTTTGAGATTCATCCATGTTGTTGCATGTGTCAGTATTTCATTCTTTTTTATTGCTATATTGCTAAGTAGTACTTCATTGTATGGGTATGCCACAACTTGTTATCCATTCATCTGTTAATGGACATTTGGGTTATTTTCACCATAGGGCTATTCCAAATAAAGGTGCTATGAGCATTCCTGTGCAGGTCAAGGTATGATGCTTTCATTTCTCTTGGGTAAATACTTAGGAGTGGAATGGCTAGACCATATGGTAGGTGTATGTTTAACTTTTTAAGAAACTGCCAAAGTCTTCCAAAGTGGCTGTACCATTTTACTTTCTCGCACTGGCAGTGATTAAAAGCTTCCCAGGTGATTCGAATGGGCAGCCAGGGTGGAGACCCTGCAATATAGCAGCCTGTGCGGGTTGATCTGAAGGGCTGGGAAATGTTGATCAGGAGCGCATGAGAGTTCAGGAGTACCCACTTCCACAGTTTTTCTCTGGTACTGATCCAGTGTTCTCAAGCTGCCAAGCCCAGAGCCAAACACTGTACACTGGTAAACATAAAGCATAAAGGTAGGATCACCTAATGGCTCTCATACATATTTTTTATTATTTATGCATCTTTATTTTATACTTACATAAACTTAAAATATATCAAAGCAACACATGCACATAGCAAATCCTACAAATGAGTTTATGATGAAAAGTGACTATCTCATGCCTCGCTGCCCCTCCTGGCCCCCTGCCACCCCAAGGTCACTTTCTCTGCTGTGCCTGGTATCCCTGAATACTGAACTTCTCCGTGTTGCATTCATTTTCTCCAGAAAATAACCCTCTAGTTGCCC